TCCAGGTCTTCTTTAAAATCATACTGGGATCTGGGGGGCAGAGCTTTAGTAACCTCAGTTACCATAGGACTGTAGTAGAGGTTATTCACAATGTTGTGTTTCTCGGCAAGGTTTTGCAGATTTTTTAATTTAGAGAGCACAGAAATTCCCCATTCTCTCTTCTTAACATTAGAACCCAGACAACTTCCCAACTTTCTGATTTCATCTATTTTTGCATTCAGGATCAGATTTGGATTACCATAATTACTCCGGAGGTAATCCCAAACCTCTGGAAGGGATTCAAAATTCTTACAAGCATCCTGAGCCACTCCCTTGAGGCAAGTTTTCTTCAGAACTCGGAGTTGATCCGCTAGAGAAAGAACCTTTGTTGAGATATATTCATCATACTCAGATCGGAACGTGTAGAAATCCATTTTTCCAGCTAACTCTCCGGTAAACTCTGGCGCTGTTAGGTCGACAATCTTGTTAGCTCCTTGACTCCCTCGTATACCAAATGTCTCCTTGGATTCTCCGATCTTAACACTAACCTCGGAGTGGATATCCTTCAGATCACGAACATGTCTCTCAATATCCATAGCAGGTTCCTCTAAACCTGTATCCACAGCATCCTTGTACAAGGTCTCAGCTTCTTTCTGTGCAGCCTCCGACCTCTTTGCTAGGTTGGAAAATCGATCATTTAGTGAGTGGTAGTGACTATCAGTCTCTGGGTTTACAACACTCATCCGCCGGAACTCTCCAATCAGTTCAGAAATATCCATAGTAATCTTATCCTTGTAGGTATTTACACGATCAGATTTAATCTTTAAACTTGCTCCGTGTATTCGTTCCTTATGCTCCGAGATCAGTGAAGTTTTATCACGTTCAATCTTCAAATGCTCCTGTCCTTTTTTAATAAACTCCAGGATACATTTTTTAGAATTGCTGGCAGAGTCTTTAAACCTAGCCTTGTAGACCTCTTCATCCGTCTCTTGTAGAAAAACCATTGCTTGTTGCACCTTGGTTTTCATCTGAAGAGCTGTATCCAACACAGTTTGAAGATATTCCCGAGTTACAGATGAAGGAACACAAATAGGAATGTCGTCTTCGCAAAACATTGCAGCTTCTTGGATTGCAATCCTATGGTTTTGTTTATCCCGGTCCATCGTAATTTGGGTTAAAAGATTCTGGCTGTTATTATTTACCGTACTGTTTAGAGGAGAATCAGAGTTCGGCGGAGATATAGAGCCGTCTGTAATACCAATATGTGCATCGTTTATGGCATCTAAAACTGTTTCAGTATCGTGAAAAGTGTCCTCACTATCAGGGTCCTCACTGCCAACCAGAGAAACATCAAAACAAGTATCCTCCGACCAGTTTGAAACAGCAGTATTATTTAAAGGCTGAGAATAAGGGTCCCAGATTAAACTGTCAGCGCTGGACGCAACCTCTTTATTTAGTTCTACCGGTTGTAAGTCTAGAGTTAAAGAAACAGATCGTCGTCTCCGGGATCGGAGCAATCTTCCGGTCTGCTGCGACTTAATCAATGCATTTAGTCTTAAATTAACCTCATCCACCAGGCTTTGAGGTCTTACATTACCATCAGAGCTAAATCCGTAGATAGGAGAGGTGGGTTCAGAATCCAGGTTCATAGATCTGAAACTGCGGAGTAAAACAACAACTAGGGTTTTTATTTACTACTGCGATAAAAAACTAATCCAAACATCAATAGAAATCGCTGTTTTGTGTAGCGAAATAAGTTGCATTGTGCCGGCAACTTTAGTGTTATTTGAGCCTAACACACCTTCTTGATGTTGATGATGGATGTTGTTGTTGTTGTTGTTGTAGGAGAACTTGATTAGGGGTTTAACCACTGGCGTTTTATATTTGCATTATGTTTAAGCAAATCTTCACTGTGCACTTTTCAGTTTTTAGTCTATCTCTCTATAACTTTCAGCGTCGGAACAATAGAAGTGCATAACTATTTAACCAATGTATTGTTTATACGCCACCCCGTACACAGAATAATCAAGTCTAGTACATAGTTTTAGAATTTATTTCTTGATCATCTAGCTGTGAAGCTGAAATATAACAATTAATTAGTATTATATATTTTATAAAATGTAATGTATGGTAAAATCTTGCGACCAGACAAAGTTACTTAACAATACACATTAAAATCCAATATTTCAAAATGTTACGTCTGGTGATATGTTGTGACCAGATAAAAGGATTCAAAGCAACATATGAAGACTTTATAAAAGCTTAATCATCAGTTTTAAAAGGCACATAAGAATATTTCACAAAACACAACGACGTCCCAAGCTTTCTAATAAAAATCTTACATTTGATGGCGGTTTGGTTTTCTCACACGCTGATCCAAATGTCTTCNCCCCCCCCCCCCCTTTGAAAGGCTAATATGCAGTTCTGAACAAATCTGATAAAGCAGTTTGTATTTCTTATTCTGGATGATATGCAGAATATTTTAATTTCTCTCTTGATCTGATTCAGCTGTGTTATCTTTTCCCTTTATAGTTTAGTTGTATCTATAAATTATATCAGCACCAATGATTGTGAAATATAATGGAGAAGGAATCGACCCGGTCTGTCCTATCATATGATTATACATTAAATAAGAAATATTGGTGTCTGATGTACAAATAGCGCGTACATGTATTCAGAAAAGGTTATTGTATACATTAAACAGGGAAAAAAGTAGGTTGAATAACGCCAAACAAACACATTTTTTGGGATGCAAAAATATTGGCATTACAAACGTATTTTTTATAATTTAAAAATCGGTTTTATTTAATATGGTATAGTAGATAACCACACTTCAAAAATTTAAATGTAATCTTTAAAAACTTTTTTTTCTGTGAAGCAGGGATATATCATATGGTAGGGCGGGCCGGGTCCTCCCATTTTCCATTATATTTCAAACCCATGGATCAGTACTAATAAATCATTTTAAATTAATAACTTGGATCAGGATATACTGGATGATCCTACTGTAAAGACCATCCTCTATCTCTCCGATCTTCTGGAGATGTGTCAGTTCAAGTCATTCTGGAAGGAGGTAGGCCTGCAGTTGATTGACTGATTGTTTGATTGATTAATTGATTGACTGATTGTTTTATGGCTTATGGAATTTGGAAATTCATTATATTAAACACATCTAGAACCGAATTTTATGAATTAGAGAGGTCACTGAAAGTACCAACCGCCGGTTCGAATCCGGAATCCTCGTTAGCATTGGATTGGCGGTTTAGAATTAAAACCGGCGTAAGGTATTTAAGCGACATCTCTCTAAGCCCAATTCATTAATATCTGTTTCTGATTAAATTCAGTCGTACAAGAGATTGATGAAAGTATAAAAATGGATTCATGGAATTATCGAATTATTTATCAATTTTTCACTTTACCTTAATTTAGGTGAACAAAGAGAGTTCTTTGATGAAGTCAGTGGACGGATTTGAGGACTCAGTTAGGAAGTAAGTTCTTTATTTTAGTGCTTAGCATCCGGATCCGGTTTTTTTTCAGGGTAGATCCAGGATGCGGAACAGCATTTTTTTAAGCAAGCAAAAATAAAAACCTGTTTTTTTGAAGGGGTGGTATGTTAAGTTTGCTCTGCCTTAAATTCTTTATGTAAGAAATTTATTTTATAAGGAAAAGGGAGGGATATTTTAGAGAATTGATTGATTGATTGATGTAGGTTCGTGTGTCACGTGATCAGTATAACCTACCAGAGTATAGAGGAGAAGGTACTGCAGGAGCTCCTTGGACTTGTGGATGAGAACGCAATCAAGGTCTTTTATTTAATTCCTTGTTGTTTCTGTGCTACTTCGCGCCCCCCTTTCAAAGTTCTAACTTTTTGCTATTTAGCCAAGCATCTTTTATGTGCTTAGTTTAATATTTCTGCAGATTTTACAGTTGTTTTTACTCTTTAAAGAGAGGTATGTCCAGTTCACAAAGGTACCCGCCAGACCTTAACGTTTTTTTATTGGAAAGTGCAATTTCTTTATTTCTTAAAGAAATGACTACGTCAATTTAGCAGAGAAACTAAAATAAAAGTTTTGAACAACAAAACGTTGATTTATGCACATACTTGATCGGACCAAGCTTTTATGGGTACTTTTGTAAAGATGGGCATTGTAATCTTTGCATAAAGTCACTTGTAATTATGTTAACAGACCTTTTAGCCTGAATTGTTTATAGGCTTGAACGGATAAGTTTGGTTGGAAGGTTGGACACTGGACAGGATGGCCTTGTACCTATATTAATCTGAATTATTTGTATAGGTGTGAACGGCTAAGTTTGGATGGAAGGTTGGACAGGATGGTCTTGTACCTATATTAATCTGAATTATTTGTATAGGTGTGAACGGCTAAGTTTGGATGGAAGGTTGGACAGGATGGTCTTGTATCTCTGGCCAGCCAAGAAGAAATCATTAAAACAAGGAACAAGAAAATTGATATTGTTATAACCAAGATTGTAGGGAAAAGCAACTTTTTTTTTTTTGAAAATTCTGAAAACTATTTCTTCTCTAAGTCAGTTTAAAGCAAAAGGAATAGCTGTTTAAATAAAATGTTGTTAGTTCTGCTTTTAAATTTATTAAAGGGAGAGTTGATAAAATTTGATATGGGGGAAGAATAAACAGCTGCTTTTATAATAAAACTGATAAAATACAACTACACACAAGACATTGAAGCATTTTGATAGATTCATGAATGTATGAATTAATGTTATCCTTCGTGTTATTTTAATTTAATTTTTTTGTGATGCGCTTAGGAATATCACAGAGAAGATTGATTTGGACTCTGTGGCAAGCATCATGGCATCCTGCTATTGATTCAGTATCATGCATCATTTCTTCTTCAGCTGACATCAACCTTGCTGATTCTCTTCTTTACAGCCAAATGTTCATTTAAATAATTCTCCAATTGATGACAAGTATTTCAAACCAGAAAAACATGTAACCTTTAGTAGATTTTATATTAATGAATTGAAGGCGGATTTTTTTTCAGATTGATAATATGGCTTTTTCATTTGGAAACGCTGGAGGGGGAGGCACTGGGCTCAAGTAAGATTTTTTTGTAGGAATATGTCTGTAAAAAAATGCGCACTTTTCCAAAAAGTGAGAATTGAATTATTATTAGATTATTTACACTGTTTAGTGTTTAAGTGTTTAAATTCTTGAAAAGTGTCGAAACCATTTTTTCTTATGACAGCTTGGATAATGATTTGTGTTTAGTTTTGGTGCTCCATCAGCCAAAAGTACAGGCTTCAGTTTCGGAGGTGGACCTCCGACTACAACAGCAGCCTCCAGCACTGGGTTTGGATTTGGGGCCACTTCAGCTGCGCCTAGTACGGGGTTCGGGTTTGGAGTAGGGGCTTCTACAGCCGCCCCCAGCACAGGATTTAGTCTAGGAGTTGGAGCCACAACAGCTTCTCCAGCCACAGGGTTTGGTCTAGGAGGCGGGGCTCCAGCTACTACTGCAGGTACAACTACAGAATTTATGGAAGAAGGAAAAGCAATTTTGTTTAAACTTAAGAAAAGTAAGTTCTCTGTTACGATTTTTGAGTATGTTGTAAAAGTTTTCTGATGAATGATAGCTGACTTTTATCTAATTCTAGGAACTGGATTCTCCTTTGGCGGAGGTTCTTCTGGTTTATCTATTACTCCACTAGGAGCTGCTGCTTCCCAGCCCGGAGCATCAACAGCTGCTAGTGGATTCTCCTTTGGAGCCCCCGCAGCTGCTGCTACTACACCTGCTGCTCCTGCTGCTTCTACTGGGTTTTCACTTGGAGGAACTTCAGCTCCTACTACAGGATTTTCATCAGGAGGAACTTCCGCTGCTTCTACAGGATTTTCTTTAGGAGGAACTACTGCGGCTTCTACAGGGCTTACTCTTGGTGGCGCTAACCCTGCAGCTACAGGGTTCTCCTTCGGGGGTAAACCAGCTGCTTCTACCTCAGGATTCTCTCTAGGAGGTACCCCTGCTGCTGTTAGTACAGGGTTTTCTCTAGGAGGTACCCCTGCAGCTGCTAGTACAGGGTTTTCTCTAGGAGGAACTGCTACTTCAACTGCTGCTCCCGCTGCGGGTTTAGGAGGATTTGGAAAGCCAACTTCGGCCGCAGCTAGCGCACCTTCACTTGGCTTGTCTGCATCAACCGCCATCGGTGGAAAACCTACAGCTTCTGTTTCAGGATTCTCATTGGGAGGAACTGGTTCAACTCCGGCACCAGCCTTCTCTCTACCAACATCTTCTGCACCTGGAGCAACTGGATTCTCACTGGGTGGAACCACAACTACTGCTACAGTAAGTTCTGCCCCAGCCACCAGTTTCTCCCTTGGAGGTACTACAGAGAAGACGACATCCACCGGTTTTGGGGGCTTTGGAGCTGCCACTTCCACAGCAGCAGCCAGTATAACAGCTCCAGGTCTAACCATCTCAGCAGCATCTACACAAGCCAGTCTTACCTCCACTACAAGTACAGTTGCCAGCAGTAGTGCTGCAGCTCCGTCTAGTATGTCCTTCAGACAGTTGGAGGAGAACATCAACAAGTGGACCCTGGAGCTTGAGGACATGGAGAAGCAGTTTTTAAACCAGGCAACCCAGGTCAATGCATGGGATCAGCTGCTGGTGAAGAACGGAGAGAAAATATTGAATTTGAATGATGCTGTGTCCAGGGTGCGTCAGGATCAGCAGAGGTTGGAACATGAACTGGATTTTGTTTCCGGACAGCAGGTACCTCAAGCACGGGATTATATTTTCTTGACAATTCATCCGGGGGGAGGGGGGGGGGACTGTTAAAAGTATGTAAAAGAACTAAAAGACTGAGTTGGGAGCTTAGAAATTATGATATTTGAGTCTTATAGCTTGCTTGAAAATATATATATATATAAGTTTTAGGATATCTAATTTATAGTTTATTTAACTATTATCAAATATTCCTAAAGCATGTTATATTGAAGATTTATTTATGATTTATGTTTTCCCATAGTAAAAGGTAGTGCAATTAAAGTTTTAAATTGTTCAACATTTGAAGAGTAACATTAAAATTCACAAACATCAACGCTTATTAAAAAAGGGAAATGAAATGAACCAATATAATGTGAAATAGTTGTTTTCCCATTTTTTATCAACAAGAAGACGACAATTATTCCACTTCAAGTTAGTTACCATCGTCTGCATCTCTCTTGAATTAACGGTAACACTCCCATTAAGGCTGAGCTTGAGGAAGCCCTGCGTCCCCTGGAGCTAGCAATGGCAGGAACTAATAATGTGGATACAGAGAGGGAGAGAACGTATCAGGTTAGGATTAAAGAACATTATTTAGGATTTATTAAAGGGACTGTAGGCATAATAGCATGTTACCCTCCATTTTAGATTTTCAAAAAGAATTATATGGAGTTTTTTGTTTTAATAAATCACAATTGTGAGAAATAAAAAAAAATTACCTCATTCTTGTCTGTAAACATATTTTAAAGTAACCCTTTATTTATTGAGAGGTATGTACGATTCACAATTGGTGGTACCCTTAGAAGCTTTTTCTGAATTATAAATCTGTTTTATTATTTGAAAGATCTTAATTTTTATTAAAATTGGTTTCTTTATTGCAGTCATTTCTTGCTTCTAAAACAATGAAGAAGTTATCTAAATTGAACTCTAGAAAAATGACGTTATCTTTCACATTATGGATCAAATATCGGGCATGCCCCCTTTTAAAATGGAGAGTCTTCTAAAACTACAACAACAGTCCCTTTAAGACTAACATATTCTTCTAAAATCTAGACTAGTTTCAAAATTAAAACTAAATTCTTAATGTAATAGATTAATATTACATTACATTACTTAAATAAAAATGAGATTAATAAAATAATTTTTTTTTCAAATCAACTATTAATTTTTCCCTTCCCTTTTCTGCAGTTGGCTGAAAACCTTGATGCCCAACTGAAGCGGATGTCTGAAGATCTAAAGGAAGTGATTTCCCATCTTAATATGGGAAACAGAGGAGCTGATACCTCAGATCCTGTAGCACAAATAGCAAAGGTAAATTTAATGGGAAGGTTCACTAATTTTGATTAGGATTTAAATTATAAATTACCCTCCTTAATTTTAAAGCCTATTTGATCCCAATTATTATTCTTTAAATATTGTCGCATTTCTAAAATGTGGTCTGCTAGTTTTGTGTTTCCAAAATTACAGGAGGTTTGAAGAATTTCGTTCAGATTTAGGCAATTTTGGTTTTATTCAAAACAAAATTCTTGGAAATGTCAGGATTAAGTTGGTATTTAGAAGATTGGCACTTTTAAGACGTTTTGATATATTTTGAGTTGAATGATTGTTTTCTAGATCTTGAATGCCCACATGGACAGCCTGCAGTGGATCGATCAGAACGCCTCAGCAATTGAGAAGCAGTTGATCACAGTTAATAGATTAACAGAGTTACAAACAAGGTAAACTTAACCATTATCATTTTGGCAAAACCCAGGGGAACATTTTGGCACAATCGAAAGTGAAATTTTGGCACTACCGAAAGGGACATACTTGTACAGCCGAGAGGGACATTTTGGCACAAACAAAGCAGACATTTTGGCACAACACTGGACATTTTAGTGAAACCCATGGAAAAAATGTTGCACGAAACATTTTACACTACACAGGGAGACATTTAGGCACAACCAACAGGGACATTTTGGTACATAACAGGGAGACATTTTTGAACAACTTGGAAGGGGGGGGGGGTGTTTTTGGACAACGTATATACATTTTTGCCACAAGGGTTTTATATTTGCTACAACGGGACTAAAAAGGGGTTAGCCGTATAGCAACGGTTACACACACGTATAAAGTACAAACATTTGGTACCAGATATAGAACACTTGCTTGTTTAAAGCAAATAGTTACAATGTTCTCATTTTGAGACACAAAAGGTTTTTGTAGCTGGAAAAAGCTCGTATTGATGTATGCAAAAAAATAGATATCCTTTTAACTATTAACAATAAGAATAATTTTTTATTTTCAGGGACAGTGATCGGCTGCAGCGATCTTTTGTTGAATAGATTAGATAGCCAGATAGAACGGGGGAAATCAATAATCATGACCGATTTATTGATATTTATATTGAAGAAATGATGAAAAATCTTCGAAAAAAACTTTTTATCTTCATGATCTCGGTCTGTTGCCCCTGATCGAGAGGTTCGATCAAATATTGTGATTTTTGCCATTAAAAAAAAACTGTGACTCATAATTTTTTTTTATAAACTCAATAAATATCATTATAAATTATAGTTTTGATTTTTGATGTTTATTTTTTAGATTTAATTGCGTGGCTATTATTTTATTTCTTTAAGAGGCTTATAATATCAAGTAACCCTCAAGTTTATAGCTGAATGCCGATTCACAACGGTTCCCATTCTTTCTTAGCACCAATGTGGAAGACATTTTCCTATTTAAAAAGTCTTGAATCACTTATTTATAATAGTGCTTTGTTCTTGGACAAACATCGCTTGGTAGTAATTTTATAATAAAGTTGATTTCAACGCAAAATATAATTGAGTAAAAGATTTTTTTAGCAAAATAAACTGCAAAAAGTCTCTAATAAATAATACTTGGGCTGAGCATGGCAGTGGATCGGAACCAGGTAACCTTGAGTATTGGTATTTACTTTAGATGGTCGGTTCCGGAACAATGTTCCCAAGATAAGAATGCTCCATATGTAAGTAGTGAAGGGTTATCAAGAGAATCTAACAAGCCTACTCGTATCTTGCTCTGCAACATTTAGGACAAATTAGATCAAGTACACGTACACTCGAGGGCATAAGTATGGTTTTTGAGTATAACAGTGCGAAGTCAGCAGGGAAGTGTACACATGCTGTCTGATATGAAATGCACCTCTACCCCTCCGAATAGCGCAACCATTTCAAGCCTCAGTAAATTTGGAAAGGTCATAGTGCATGATGTGGTTTCAGCGGGATTAAGTATTAAAAAAGCCTGCGATATGACTGCTATTCTGGATGAAATTAAGAAACTCCCAAAGGATCAGCAGGCAAAGGCTGCAAATGCTCTTTCTAAGTCAATTCTGGAGGAAGCGGAGAGGATGGAAGAGGAAGTGAAAAGACTGTTTATAGACTTTGATGTTAAAAAGGTTTTTTTAGTTAATTTATATTTAAAGAGACTAATAGGCATAATTTGCAGAGTACCTTTTAAACCTTCAACTGATAAAGGATGTTGTTTGTTTATTTTTTCTTAATAAAAAAGTTTTTTAATAAAAATCCCATTTTATTTATTTTTATTTATTTTTATTGAGGCTACTTTAAATTTATTATATGAATGTTTTCAAGAACTAAAGAATATTTTTATTTTTTAACGATTGAAAATTATTTTTAGGTCAATTTTACAATAATTCTGATTTTAAAATTTTTAGAGGTTTTCTAAAAAAGAAGCTTTCAATTTAATCTAGAAATATCAATTGTAAATTTTAAATTTTAATTCTATTTTTGGTAATTTAGGTTTCAACAAAACATAAACAAGGAAAACCAAAGAAAACAGGATAACATTGTTAATTAAATCATTATTTGCTTCTTAACTGAGAATTTAAATTAAATAAAATGAATTATCCTGGAAAAATGGTTTAATTGTGATAGCTGGTAAGGGCTTTTGTAGCTGGTGCAGAGGATGTGGGTCTACAGAGGTATCAAGGAGCTGAAGTTCTTGATCGACCAGGGTTGTAAATCCCAAGCCTAACCAAACCCCCCAGAAGAAATTCTGTGGCAGTACAGTATTCGGATAGTATAATGCATAAACAAATAGTTAGTTTTCAGCGGTTGCACAAAAAAATATAATTTTATAAAAATAAAAATTGGCTTATTCGAAGATCACTTTTTACATTTGAACCTTAAAACCGTATACATGAATGCACTATAGAGATGTACGATTCAAGTAGAGCCCTACCTAGCTCAACTATTCATTAAATCATATTCATTTCATTAAACTCATTAAATTAGACTTAATTTTAAATTTGGCCTGTTAGATTTTGAAAAAATCATAGCTTAAAATTTTAAAGTTAGCCTACGACATCAGGTTGCAAAGATATTATAATTAAAAAATTGTTGCGGTTATAAAGTTTGAAAAATAGCAATACCAATATAAAACGAACTTACTAAATCCAAAATGTTGATTCACTGAAATTTGAATCTGTTTGGGTTTCTTTGGTAGTAGTCGCCAATTAGAAGTTTCAAAATCTCAGGAAAAAATACTTGAAAATTGGGGGGTCAGTGAACCCATTAAACGGTGGAATAGGAGAACGACCGTTGGACAAATTCAAATCAAATACTGTTAAAAATTGCTTAAATATCGTCTTTCTATGTCCAAAGTTTTATGGGTCTCACTGTATAACTTTAATTCAAAATAAAAGCTATAAAAGTTAAGGTTTGAATTACATATATTTCAAAATAATGTGTTGTGCAATAAAATGTGGGCCGCGTACCATGTACATAATTACATTTTGTTGTAATTACAGAGCTAAGATTACACATATAACAATGCATCTGGGTTCCAGCGTACAGTACAGGGTTCTTATGTACAGTTCGAATCAACAACAAGGCTAGTGCACTATTGATGATAAGATGTATTGCTTAAAAGAATGTCTTTGTTTGGGCCGTTACAAATTTATCTAGAATTAGTACAGATAAGACTAACAGCCCAAAAGAGAACGCTTTGATATCTTAATATCTAGTTCTGATTCTAGTCTACAGTACAAGGTCTTAACCAGGTCACTACAAGTTCAGCTGGCTTAGTGCATGAGGCTCAGGGCACAGGTGAGCAAGCTATGGCATCTTGATCTGATCCTAGTGGTAGTGTAATGGTGGGGTTGATAATGGCGCCTAGTCAAGATGGAACTCAATCCCCTTAAATATTTATGGAGTTATAGGTCCTCATTCAAGTGTCGTGTATTGGAGTTATAGGTCCTCATTCAAGTGTCGTGTATTGGAGTTAAAGGTCCTCATTCAAGTGTTGTGTATTGTTAAAAATTGTAATTGCTGCCGAAGAATCCAATGCATGAAAATAATTATAAATAACAAGTATTTCCACATATAGATCCATTCTAAGGGGCGACTTAACCAAGTAAATTAATTTTTTTTCACTCCACTTAATTATCAGGTTGTTTAAGCTTGTAGAAATAAAAGACTGAGTTTCATATTTAGATTGTTCTTTATGTTTTATTTGGTGTCTTTTTACTCACCTTGTTGGGGAAAAGTGCCGATGTCCTAGTCTAAAGAACAAAAATAAATAATAAAATAATAAATTGTAGCATTTTATGATTTTTAATTTTTTAATTAAAAAGAAATAGATAAATCATGATTTAAATTGATCAAATACAGGGTTCCATTGACGTATTAATAAAATTTTAATTTCTTCTTCGCTCTACGCAACATGAATTTCTAATTTTAGATATCACGACGGACAACATTTTGGAAAGCCCAAGAACTTTGTGACCATACATGTGCCATATGCTCGGTGTTTATATCAAGACAATGATGACAACTTTTTAGTTTCTATGTAAACTTGAATTTTAATTCAGAGCTTTTTAATTATTTAATTTTAATTTTTGTTCATTAAACAGTAATTATTTTCACTTTTATTTGACATTTTCTATTATTTTTCAATCTCTGCTCTGTATACGTCAAAATAGAAAGTCGTCTTCAATCCATTAATATATATACGACGACAACTGTGAATCTTTTGAAATTCAGCTGATATGAATAAAATTCTAAGACATTGAAAGATATTTGAAAAAAATTTAAAGATTTTAATTTAATTATTTTTTCCTAGTTCCATGATAGCTTCCAGCATGAGCGATTCTAGACAGTAAATAATTCAATTATAATTGCTTTCCTTATTTAAAAAATTAAACATTTTGCTTACTTTTTAACTTCATAAAAATAAAAGAGGTAAAAAGTTTTGAAAATCTTTTCCCTCCACCATTGAAATGAGCATTAATGAAATATACTTTAAAATACAATAGTTTCCATAAAACTGTGGAAACTGCAGACGACGCGTGTTTGACATGACACATAGCAGTTAATTGTGCATTTTAAAGCTATTTTTTTACAATTTATTTTTAAATTAAATTTTTTTAAACAAAATTTTGAAAAGAGTAGTGGATTTTTTTCTCTGACTGTTGTGTCTTCTTTTTATTTGATCATACATCTGTTTTCTGTTCCTCTCTTTTAGATCTTCGCATTCTAATCCCTTGTCGACAAGGGGAAAATGCATTTTGACACTTATATCTGATTTTCTTTCTCCCTAATAATACATATATTACTATTTCTTTTCCATGCAGAGGTGTCAAATTTCTCTGGAAAGTTATGTTGAGGAATGATGATGCAGCTTTTTCATCCAGCTACATTCTACATTCTTTTATTATATATATTCTTACAGGTTGGAGTTCTCTGACATGTTTTATTCCACACAGGGTTCTGTTCAGCCTTAAGAAACTGGAGAGCGTTGTATAAGAACCTGACTGTTATGAGCTCCCTTGATGCTTACACACACAGAACCAGATTCAATAGATGATGATGATGAGTTCGGATACTTAATAACAGCTAACCAGGCTTGTTATTAAGGAGTACATTTAAAGCTGTTGGTTGCAAAATCTGGATCCAGTTGGATAAAAAACCTCCATTCTCCAGGTTAATACAGCATTAAAAGATTAATGCAGGCCTTCAGTGTTTCTTGTAATTCAATTTTTTTCTTTTCCAGTTGTGTGCAGGGGTGTATACCCATCATATACATTACACCCCTGGCTAAAGTTTCTCTAATTTGCCCTTTTCTCTCTCTCACCCTGTATCTCTAAATACCATTTTACAGCTATACATATATATTTATTTGTCTATATTTTAACTATAAGCTGGCCAAAAAGCTGGATAAAATGAGCTGACATTTTTTTAGGGAACCCACGGATACCCTGGGGGTGACATGGGCTCAAAATTTTTTTTTTCAAAAATCGAATTTTAAAAATCTAATTTTTAAAAAACATTTAAAAATATTTCACGGGCAATGCCGAGCACTTTAGCTAGTAGATTATAGACAATAAACAAATTCTTAAATTATTTTGAATTATTCTAACCTTGCTCCAAGAGAAGATCCTCTGTGTGGACCCCGAGACTGAACACTGAAATATTTTCATACTTAATATATATATATATATATTTTTATACAGGGTGTCCCACATCATATTAGATCGTTTATCTTGATCTAAATTGAGATTAAAGGGACTAATCAAACAAATTTTTAAAAAATTTTCTAAAACAATAAAGAAATTGATTTGTCGAAATTATCAGGTTTCTCGAGAATTATGTTTGTATTTTGGAGTTAAAGCTTGAAGATAATCCAAAATAATATGGAACGCTCTGTATGTTAATAGGTACAGCCATAACTAGGATTAAGTGTAGTAAAAGCTGTCTTTATTAAGTCTTTAAAGTACAATTTTATGGCGTCCGGGATTTCGTAATTCTTAATTAACTCTGAAAACTTTTGTGTTTAAAATCTTGGAAGCATTGATTTCCATCTTGTGCAACCTAAGTCCGAATTTAAAGAATTTGAGCCGTGGCCTAAATTTGAGATGCGGCTCAAATATGGTTGGTTTCACTTAAAATTGTATTCTATGTTTCAAGATTTAACCCGTCGCTCATATGAAACTGGTTTTTGGCGGATTTGAGACGCGGCTCAAATTCATAATTCACAATTCATAATAATTCATCATAAATAAATCAAATTTATACCCTGCAGGGATAACTTTAACTGAGGATTAACAGAGCATTGATCTTCAACTTTATAAGTGCCCACATTGGATAATAATCTGCACACAAAAGTTCTTTAGAATTGGTGGATATCAGGACTAACAATTAATCCTCTGTTTTTGCTAATCTCAAGACTAACATAATCTCAAGATTATGTTAGTCATGAGATTAAACATTTAGATCAACAATTTGATTCTAGGAACGCCAGATTTGTTCGTTTTCTTGACTGGAAGGGTCTTCACATAATTTCTCACACATTTATTTATAAATACATTAGTTAAAATTGGTTAAAAAAGAATCTCAAACCTATTATTGAATATTTTTCTTCACCGATTAATTTACAAAATGGCCGACGACAAATGCTGTATTTGTTAAAATTGCAGATTTCTCTCATGGGATAGAATTTATTTTCAAGACTGTCATTGGTCAATACAATTTACGAACTATATTTCTTCACACTCTCATTGAAGAAAACAATATAAAGATATCCAAAAAGAGAGAAAAAGAGTGAATTAAGGACTAAAATTAAAAGTTTCCACAGTGGATATTCGGATTAAGTAGTTGGGATTAAAGGTTATCCATTCTAAAGTTCCCAGCTCTGATCTCTTAATGTTTATAATTTTGTAATTTTACAGAAAAATATTAAATCAAAACGTAAGAAAAGCCTTTTATTTCACTTTTAATGGTAAGTACTGCAGTTAAATAATTAAAATATAAACATTGATAAAGATAAAGGTTCTAAAAATTAATAAGAATAATTATAAATTACGAATTAATTAAAAGAGATCTCTATCGGCTCGTCTGGGTGTCTGTTTGTTTTATCTATTAAACGGCAAAATAGATAAACCGATCTGGCCCAATTTTTTAAATAAATTTATAACTCCCTTGACCCCAGAGCTGGTCGAAATTGACAAATTTAGCCTTGAAAAAAATGTCAAAATATATATATTTTTTAATTTAGTTCATTTACCTGTAGAAAAGTACAAGAAGAATTGTCAGTATATGGACGAATTTCATTTTATCAAATATTTTGGTTTTGTAGTTATACAACAGGTTTCATAGACTTAGGTCAACTAATAATTTATCTGAGTTGATAACCCTTATACCCCTTCTACCCTCCCTCCCTCTCTACCCCCCCCCCTTGTTACAGTTAACCCTAACCACAATTCACCTGCTTAACCCTATTAAATTCATCTTTGGAATTCCCCCCACTTACACTTGGTGCATAATAAACCTGGGGTTTAAAGGGACAGTAAAGTAGGGCGTCCAGCGAAAAGGGTAAATCGATTCGCGTAAATTTTGCATTCTTTCGCATTTCATTCGCTCGCGAAAAGTGCGAAAATTTTCGCTTAATAAGAAGGTTTATTATCTACTCGGTCAACCCAGACCGAAACATTTATTTCAAAAATGTAGCACATACTCTTTACCAAAGACTATCTATATAAAGATACGGCATCAGAAAATATACGCAAATTCTAAGCACTTAGTTTGGTCTAATAGAGATTGTAAACAAATGTCGTCTTCTTTTAATGAATAAAGGCATTTTTTGGTTGCTTGGAAGTTTCATTCCATTTAAAGATTCATACTTTTAAACCCAAATCCCAACAAATCAATTAAAAAGTTCAACGGTTAGATATTAGATGTGTGTTTGATCAAGAATGAAACTAAGAAACATTAAAAAATTTGGTTTTTTTTACTATTATTTATGTAGCCGACAGAAAAATGTGATTTTTTTTGGCCCTTTTTATTTTATATTAAAATGTTCTGTGAATCCTTAGTTTTTAATTTAGAATGATGTTTTATATCATTTTGTAAATCCAAATACTGTTCTAATTTAGACAATTAACTTTAAAAGAAATTACATTGTTTGACAATTCGTCAATTTATTAGCATATAGTAGCACTAAAAAACATATTGTCATAATAATAATTGTCATAAACGATTATTGGCTATTTTTTATACAAAAGAGATGCGTAACTTATGTTCATTGTTGAACGCTCAAGCAATCAAAATAACCATCAAACAATGACGTCAAATACAGCTATAATTTATATTACAACATCTTTACATATAGAGCCTTTGCCATGTCTTTGCTCTGTTCTTTAATGAGGTTTGGATCATTATTAACACAAAAACCCCTCTCTCTCCCTCTCCTTAAGATTTTGTTAATGAAAAAGTGAAAAATAAAGATATTCAAAGTGCTTTATTTTTTATTTTGAACTAGCTCGAGTGCCCGGAGTTGCCCGTGGAATTAGAAAAAAATATTTTGATTTTTTAAATTCTATGTCAACCCCTGGATTTTCCTCAAAAAATGTCAGCCCATTCGGTCCAGCCGTTTGGCCGGCTATAGGGAACATATATTTATATACGAATGTATTGTTTTATTATATAGATAACTTCATGATATATTTTAATGTATACTGGATAACATCCAATGTTATTAAAATACATATTAACCAAAAAAGATGCATAAAAAGAATTTTCAAAATTCTAATTCTCTGTCGATTAGCATGTATACAGTTATTTTTTGAAACGGTTATTTACTATTTTATACAATTAAAGTATAGGACATTAAAATGTTATTTTTACTGACTTAAAGACACAAATGGTGAATCGAAAAATTAGAAAATTTCGGTTTATTTTTGGGTCCTTAAAGAGCATGCATTTAAAAATGAAATTTACATATTCTCTTTTTAAAAAGGCCTACATACATGAGAAAAAATTTTTAAGAGCTTTATTCATTTGTGTATTTTTTTATTTCAAATTTAAAAAAATTATTGATACTATTTGGACGTTATAATGGCATTAAGTTTTAATTTCAAAATTAATGGATGTATCTTTATCTCTCTTGATAAATGGCTTTAATCTCACATTAAACTTACATTTGAATTATTTAAAACTTCATTCGTTGTCTGACATATTATTTAGGAGAAATAACATATTTTTAAAGCGTTATAGGGGTGTAATAGTGAAGCTATGAAGTACAAGGCTAGATTTAAGATAATAATGATTGGAATAGCTAACGTTAGAATCAATTTGCTGTTCATCATATCAAAAATGCATTAGTGTGTTAAAAATACAATATTTATCTAAAATAATAATCGAAATTCGCATCTTAATTTCATTCGCTTCTTTTAAATCAGGTTTTACTTTTAGTGAAATTTAGTGAAAAAATTAGGAAAAATAAATGTGATGTGTTCGATGGTCTTTATCGTCTTTTTTAATATAATATCATATTTTATATTCATATAATTATGTTATTATATAATATCATATAATTATGTTATTATATAATACCATGTAATTATGTCATTATATAATATCATATAATTATGTTATTATATAATATCATATAATCATGTTATTAGATAATATCATATAATTATGTTATTTTATAAATTCTGTTGAAAAATGATTTCTCAGTGTATTAAACTCTTCTGTTTGTTGGAGTGCTAATATTCCTCTCAAGCCGAGGCGATTCTCTGAAACAAAAACATTTTTTATTTAATTTTTTTATTTATTTTAGTCATAAAGAATTGAGTTATTGTCACAAATAATTCCTTTAATTGAGCAAGGGAAGAGGGAGCGGAGCTTTGTACCCACAAGTCTTTTTTAAGAAGAGAAAAACCATAAAACTCCATAAAAGAATTAAAGAGGGCCATGAAGGAACAATGAACTATCTGAGAATTTTCATACCTGGGGAATTTTAAGCAATGAAATACCTGGGGAGTTTTGAACAATGAACTTCACCTGAGGAATTTGGAACATTGAACTACCTTTGGGATTTCGAACATTGAACTACCTTTGGGATTTCGAACATTGAACTACCTTTGGGATTTTGAACATGAACTACCTGGTGGATTTTGAAAAATTGACGACTTGGGGAATTTTTAACAATGCACTACCTGGGGGATTTAAATAATGAACTACTTGGGGGGATTTTGAACAATGAACTACCTAAGGGATTTTGAACAATAAACTATCAGGAGGATTTTGAACAATAAACAACAAGGTGGATTTTGAACAATAAACTACCTGGGGGATTTTGAACTGATTGAGTTTGTTCTCTTGACCTGCCTAGAGAGCTTAACGCTGGCTACAACCATTCTAGAGAAATTTCGTTTATTAAATTATGAAATTTTACAACGTTTTTTTTTTAACAAAATTGATGTAACTTTAGAGGCTCTTTATGGAGATGATCAAATAAACGATTATTCATTACATTTTTATCTTAAAGATTATAGAGATATTTCATTGCATTTGGAAGAATTTTCTTTATTATTTCCATTAAAATGAATTTAATACCTTTCATCTTGAGTTGATTCATTGACAGCTGGGGTTAAAGAGGTTGCTTCAGAGTTTGCGGCATTCTCGCTTGGGAGCGTTTTTGCGGCATTCTCGCCTGGGAGCGCTGCACTGGTGTCGGCCATCTTGGAACTTCCATTTGATACTAAACAAATAGTTCAAGTAATTTAATTTTAATCTTGTAAATTAAAATTAAAAGTTTACAGGCTGAAGCATATACAACTTTTCCAAAATAAGTACATTTAAATACGTTTCAAGGTGAGGAAACCTAGAATAGCAATATACTTAGTAAAATTAGTGCTGTAAAGAATAATAAACCTGTATTTCTACGATCTGAAAGGGATCGATTAACCCTAGAAGCAGTTCCATTCACTTTGCTGTTCAAGGATAGGGTCCTTTTAACCGGCTGCACCAAATATTTAAATATTTTTCTTAGATAAACTTTTTAAATTTGTAACTTTTTAACAGCTTCTTTAAATTTGAATTCCTTAGGATTTTTTTTATAAATATAATTAAATTTTCTCAAATATATCTATATATCTACTTCAAGATACTTAAATAAAAAATATTAATACTTAGAGATATCCAAAAAATTGTATAATATAAGAATCATATACACCAAAATTTAAAGAAATCAGAAAAAACTGAAAGCTTATTGTTAGCACTTTCTAATCATTCAAAATGTGAACATTAAAGCATGCTTAAAAACAAAAGAATATTGGAAAAAGGTTTCAAACAGAAAATGATTATTAATTGCTAAATAGTTAAATTATTTTTCAATATTTCTTTCCTTGTTAGGTTTAACTGTTCTACTGGCGTTTCCTCTTCTAAAATAAATTCAACATTTTTAATCAGACTTACTTTGTAAATGCTTAACTTCAATATACATACAGTGATCCTCATAATATTATTCATAACAATTGTTAATTATCAACGATTGTTAATCATTAACATAGATAATCGTTAACAACTGTAAAACAATAACAATCGTTGATCTTTAAAGGGAGTGACCGGCTATGTAAGGTAGTTGAACTGAGTATGCGGTGTTGTGGAAAACTTCTATCGGATTCATTTGAGACATATTAAACTTTTTAAAGATCTGTAAATCCTGAGTTTGAGCGCAAATTCGACGTTCAAAACTCCTACTTTGGGGGTGGATACGTTTTCAGAATTAGTTTTTTAAATGACTGATCCTTAACGATAGTTGTTCATTAATAAACGATTACAGATTGTTGTTGATAGTTAATCGCTAATAACGGTTTTATTATACCTGATCCTAGAACTAGACTCCCTGGTGTCAACTAGGGTTTCAGCAGCTGATAAAACAGAATCAGAATCAGATTATACCTGATCCTAGAACTAGACTCCCTGGTGTCAACTAGGGTTTCAGCAGCTGATAAAACAGAATCAGAATCAGATTATACCTGATCCTAGAACTAGACTCCCTGGTGTCAACTAGGGTTTCAGCAGCTGATAAAACAGAATCAGAATCAGATTGCTGAATTGACTCCAAGTGAGATTTTCGTCGAGGCAGGATTGAACTTTTTCTAAAAATTAATTTTTAAAAATCTCTGGAAATTTAATTCAGGATCTTTGTTCAAATTTTAATTTATTAATGAAAACTAAATCTGCCTTAATGTCTAATTTCGTTGCTGTTTTATAAGAAACACAGTTACCCGGATATGGAACTTTAATGGCGACCTATCTTCGTTATATTTAACAATTTAACGGGTTGAAATTGTACTTTGTCCTCAAAGTAAAGTCTTTAAATGATATATTAAATCATTAGGCTAAGAAAGAAACCAGTGTCCAGCTGTTGAGAAGCATGACTTTAAGAAAAAGGATTGAAGAAGTTCGGCACAGTCGTCTCATGAATTCTCATCCTTTGTAGGTATCTCTGTATCTGGTGTACCCTTATTACACAGCTTCAGTAAAACTCGTGCAAACTCTACATTTACAATGGCAATGCACGATTAACAAAGGTAAAAGGTAAAAGTGGTTAATTCCGATTATTTCTTTATGTTTTCCTGCAGTAGAAATACGCAAATAATCTGTTTTCTAAATTATTAATTATTATTAATTATTGAAATCTATTAATTATGAAATGAAATTATTAATTAATTATTGAAATCTAATTCATTCTTGATCAAAAAAAGTTTTTCATGGTACCATTGTGAATCTGGCATTGCCATCTTTGCATGAAAGGACACTGAAAACTACTCTTACAGTCCCTTTATAACCGGCTCCATTATAATCTTGGTAACCCTGTATAATCTATTTAACAAATCTCTTTAGATGGCCAATTCGATTTATTGGGGAGCCCATGGTTACCCTGCGGGATGAAATAGGCTAAAAAATTCTTCTTTTTTTAAAAAGTTGGATATTTTTTTTCTTAAAAATTCAAATTTTTTCAAACTGTTTTAAAATTTCGCGGGCAACGCCGGGCACGTCAGCTAGTTATATATATTTTCAAATTGTTAAAAAGAAACTAACCTGCTATTCTGGGATTCTGATGAATCTTGGGAACTTGTTGAAATTCTCCTATTTTTAAAAATATAATTTTATTAGATGTTTATCCAACAGTGAAACTTATAAAAGTGTGAAATAGGGAGACGAAATTTAATTAATCTTATGAGTATTTGATGTTATGAAGGAAATATCATAGAGTAATGTAACAATTTTACAAAATCTATGATTTTCTTGGAGAATATAGCCCTCGACCCCCCCCCTGGACAAATTCCTGTACATTGTTTTTACATGGAAAACAATGTTACTGTTTACGTTTGTTTTTAACAGATTTAGGACAAATTGTAATGTTAAATTATGATTTAGTAGTAATGCTCGATGTCCAATGTCAGTTGTTCATTAACCCCTCTAGGTTTAAAAATCATCATCATGGGAGGGAAGGCTCGGATATTATCTACCCCCGTCATTAATTTTAATCAATATTGGTTATTTTTAAAAAGTTAGTTTTGGTTTAAAAGATTCTTTACAATCTATGATCTGATTGTTCGACATTTTGGTAAAAAATGCGAAAAAAATGTCAAAATAAGTAAGAAAATGTATTAAAATGCCGGGCAAAAATTATGCATCTTTTCTTTTAAGCAAAAATTTGAACGATTCTTTGAAAAATGGTTTTTTCTTTGTTTACCTAACTGAGTATTTTCTTGGTGTAGAGGCCATAGTCGAGGTGATAGACTGTCTTGAAGACGACCTACATAAAATAAATTGTCTATAAGACGACCTACATAAGATAGACTGTCTTGAAGACGACCTTCATAATATATATAGTCTTGAAGACGACCTACATAAGATAATTTGTCTTGAAGACGACCTTCATAATATATATTGTCTTGAAGATGACCTACATAAGATAGACTGTCTTGAAGACGACCTTCATAATATATATAGTCTTGAAGACGACCTACATAAGATAATTTGTCTTGAAGACGACCAACATAAGATATATTGTCTTGAAGATGACCTACATAAAATAGACTGCCTTGAAGACGACCTACATAAAATAGACTGTCTTGAAGACGACCTACATAAGATAAATTGTCTTGAAGACGATGTACAGAAAACAAATTAAAGGGACTTCAGAATTGATTATAATTTTTTTTTTTTTACAGTGAGAACCGGACAATTTTGGAATGAATATCAGCTTTATTTTTCCATTTACGTGAGAAATCAGGATTTAAACGATATATATCTCTAAAATGTTTTGGGCACTTTTTTAAAAGTAGCTCAGTTGCAAATTACTAAAATAAAAGAAAAGGAAGACGACAAGATTTCTTGTGCTCGGTTTACCGCGTCATTTTCTGTGTAGGATTATCCTGCTGAGCCAGGAAAGAAATAAATTGCGGCAAACCCAGTCCATTTCCTGAACATAAAATAATAGGTTCAGATACAGGGTGTCCCAAAAAACATGGGAATTCAGTGACGAATTCGATATCGTCTTTGTTATGAATTAACATTGTAATACCTAATTTCAAAAGCCATAATATTATTATGTCTGCTAGAGTTTATTTAATGAAAAGGGTAAAAGACTGAAAAGATGTGTCTATAATGTCTCCGCAAGATGAACAGTGAATATGGACAAGTTTACTCTGTTTGTATACTGTAATTTTCTTGTTTTACTAAGTACAACCGGTTGCAGTCAAAACATAAACAAACAAAATATAAACATAGCAGACGAAACTCTTACAGATTACAGCTTTCTCAGTAGGTATCACTATACTAAATCAAAGAATTATTCATAAAGACGATATCGAATTCATCACTGAATTCCCATGTTTTTGGGACACCCTGTAGATTAAAAATCTCCATTTGACTTACAAAAATTTCTTATTTGACCTACTTTTTACTTACAAAAAGTGTAAATCTTACTTACAAAAAGGACGCATTTGACCTTTAAAAAGTGTTCATTTGACATATAAAAAGTGTGCTTCGACCAACAAAAAATTGCATTGACACTTTCTTTGAATAATCGTTTTTATTTTTTTTACCTTTGTATTCTTTTAGGTACATTTAAACTAGTAATTTGTAATTAGATTTTCTTTATTTTTTTAGAAATATTTTTTTTAATATTCTCAAAAATCAGAAAAGTGCTTTATTTTAGTTTGGTTATTCTAGACACTCTACTCTACCTGGAGATGACCCAGGTCGCTTCTGTGCTGACCCCTGAAGTAGCTGGAGAAGTTCTGATACAACCTAGAATGTTAAAGTATACAAAAATTGTCAAAATAATTGGTTAATTAGGGGATCAAGATAAAATAAGAGACCCCTAAAACTTAAAGATAAGACTTTAGTCCAATCAACATGAAATTCAGCAATTGTACAATGTACACTGTACAGTGTACACAGACCATTTTAATTAATAAGTAGATTTTTATTGGCTACCAGTTGGGATTTAGTTTTAAACATTTTCAAAAGTTGTTTAAATTTGGTCATTTTATTTTACAGTTTTTTTTACATTGCACTGTAAACTCCTGATCATTTCAAGGACCGTGCAGACTTTTTTTCAGCTAGATCAAGCTGTACAGTACAAGTACAGACTATATAAAGTTAAACAGGACGGGACAGTACAGTACAAGTACAGACTATATAAAGTTAAACAGGACGGACAGTACAGTACAAGTACAGAATATATAAATTTAAACAGGACGGGAAAGTACAGTAAAAGTACAGACTGTATAAAATTAAACAGGACGGGAAAATACAGTGCAAGTACAGACTATATAAAGTTAACCAGGACGGGACAGTACAGTACAAGTACAGCCATTATACAATTAAACAGGACGGGAAAATACAGTAAAAGTACAGACTATATAAAGTTAAACAGGACAGAACAGTACAGTACAAGTACAGACTATAAAGTTAAACAGGACGGGAAAGTACAGTACAAGTACAGACTATATAAAGTTAAACAGGACGGGACAGTACAGTACAAGTACAGAATATATAAAGTTAAACAGGACGGGAAAGTATAGTACAAGTACAGACTATAAAGTTAAACAGGGCGGGACAGTACAGTACAAGTACAGACTATATAAAATTAAACAGGACGGGAAAATACAGTGCAAGTACAGAATATATAAAGTTAAACAGGACGGGACAGTACAGTACAAGTACAGACTATATAAAGTTAAACAGGACGGGACAGTACAGTACAAGTATAGAATATATAAAGTTAAACAGGACGGGACAGTATAGTGCAAGCACAGACTATATAAAGTTAAACAGGACGGGACAGTACACTACAAGCACAGACTATATAAAGTTAAACAGGACGGGACAGTACATATCTGATTAAATTTATTACTTGATCATATCTGATATCTTCTAAATTACGTAAACTAGTGAAAAATCGTTTAGGATCTTTTTCTTTCAATTTGTTGACTTTTTTTAATTGATAAAATGAGTTATCGGATCTAAGTTGTTATTTATCAATCTGACAAAATATGTTTGTTTAAAATTTCAACATGTTCAATGTGTTTTTTTCCTCCACGTGAGTTGGAAACCGGTTTTCTACCTGTTCGATATTTTTCTTTGTTTTCTCCTCCACGTGGGTTGGAAACCGGTTCTCTCCCAGACTATTCATCAGCTGTTTCTTTTTCGATCTGAAACATCTTTAAATGTTATCATTTTTTAAGAATGTTTTTATTTCGATTCCATAAAATAATGTGCTATCTTTAACAAGAAACATGAATATTGTTTAACAATTAATTGCAATGTGAAAAAGTCTAGGGTAAACCGTCAATGGTTGAACTTAATTTACTGCATCAAAATATAATTGTCTAATCTCCATAACTTTACAACCTAATGAAATTGATCTTTTTTATGAATTCTGCTAAATGTAACAGTCAAATTTTGAAATATCGGAGGCCGAATTTAAAGAATTTAAACCGCATTGCTCATGAATCTCCAAAAACGGTTCCAATTGAGCGACGGCTCAAAGCTAAAACAAAACATAGAATACATTTTCAAGTGGAACCAACCATGTTTAAGCCACGTCTCAAATTTAAGACGTGACTCAAATTCTTTAAATTCGCCCTCAGGTTGTAAAGATGTTAGAACCATAGAGTTTGAACTTCAAAGCAATTGTGGGTTTAGTTCCTTTGTTTGTTAACAAGTTATAGACAGGATCATACAAAGAAAGAAGCTTAAAAACGATAATGATGTTAAAAAAGTTTCTATAATAAAAATAACCTGATATCGGAAGAGTAAAGAATTGTTTCGCCGATGACCTGCTGGAAAGTGACATGATCAACCAGCTGATAGGACAGGTAGACCAGATACCCGTCATGTCCCCGACCTGCATAAACATGTTCATGAATTTCAATCACAATTTGACCAATGTTCCATAAATTTTTCGTTTTTTTTTGTCAGCGGATCCAATTCAATAAAAAGTCTAAAAAGGCAACGACGTAAATTCAAAGAATTGTGGCGCCCCTGGATTCCTGGAATACAGTTCACAACAATTTGTTTGTTATTGTTTAGATTATGCATTTGTTTGTTATTGTTTAGAAAATGCATCTGGTATAAATACTGCGTTTACATAATAAATATTCAGTCTGTTTACTTCTCTTGTCATTTAAACATCGCTACATTTTGGTGACCCCGAGTTCTCTCGCTGACGCACCTGAAATTGGTTTCGACCGGGTCCCTGTGTTTTCCACACCCAATACCATAGTAGGGTTTCCGGCGATTTCGAGATTTATTATATAAGTAGCGACTGACGAGATGCCTGAGGAGGAGGTAGCAGCCCAGCTTCCCCTGACGACTGTGTCCATAAAGCTTCCCTTGTTTTGGACTGATTCTCCTGAAGTTTGGTTTCTACAGGCCGAGGCACAGTTTGAGAACAAGGGGATTACTGTGTCAAGAACAAAATTCACTCACTGTGTTGCTGCTCTTCCTCAAGATGTTGCCTGCAGGCTTCTGGATCTGGTTCGAGCTCCCCCTGCTGATCCTTATGCAGCTCTTAGAAGACGCCTCATACAGATGTATTCTCTCAGTGATTTTCAACGTTATCAGGCTCTACAGAGTCTACCCCTGTTGTCCGACCAGCGCCCCTCAGAGTTGATGGACAAGATGCTAGTCCTTTTGCCTGAAGACGAGAAGCCTGGTTTCTTTTTCAGGGGATTATTCCTAGATCGTTTACCTGCTGATATCCGAGCTCATTTACTTTCCGAGTCGATCAAGGATCCTAGGGGGATGGCTCTTCGTGCCGACGAGTTGTGGTCAGAGGATGTTTATGCTCTACCACGAGATTCCTCTTCAAGGACTGGAGCTCGTGGTTCTCGGACTCGGTCTACAAGTCGTAGCACTGCACCAGATGACGGTAGGAGGTCAAGAGCTGTTTCAGTCTGCTGGTACCATCGCCGCTGGGGCGCTGAAGCTAACCAATGCCGTTCTCCCTGTTCTTATTCGGGAAACTAGTTGACGGCGGGAATACTTTGAATTCTATTCCCGCCGAATCTCCGTCATCTAGTCTTCTGTTCCTGCAGAATAAACTCTCATCTCACAAATTCCTGGTGGACGAATTAGTCAAGTCAAGTCAAAACGTGTTTGATTTCAAATTTTGAAAAACCGAACACATCTACTCTAGGGTGAGTATAAGATAGTTTCATGTATCATTGGATCATTAATAAAATCTTTTAAAAATCTGAAAAAAATGAATTCTTAAAGGGAGTGACTGGCAATGTATGGTAGTTGAACGGAGAATGTAATATTGTGGAATTTTTTTGGAATCATTTGAGACATAAAAAACGTTTGCTCAATGTACAATTACTGAGTTTGAGCGCAAAGTCGACGTTTAAAATCATCAATTTTGGGTGGGCACGTTTTAAGAATCATTTTTTTGTAATTATTAAATAACGACGACGAAAATGCATCAAAATAAAGTATCACAGTAAGCCGATTAGATGTGCAGGAATCTATTTCTCAATAGAAATTTGTCAATAAATCGATGTTAGAATCAATTATTTCTTTTTCATCATTATATAGAATTTTTATTCCTTACGAATCTGTTCTCAGATTTCTACACATTCTTCAAATGTCGTCTTTTCAATAAAATTCAAGAAAATTTACAGAACATGTTTGTGAAGAATGAGAGATTACATAAACTAATAACTAAATAAGATTACTTATTTTCGATGATAAGAGTTAATTTTTATTCTCTCAAACCTGTTCCTAAACAACTAAATAGTTTACTATGAATTTTTGTTACATTTTTAATAACTTAAAACAAATCGATTCTGAAAACGTAACCCCTCCCCCCCCCCATTGATGATTTTGAATGTCGACTTTGCATCCTTAAATATTTCTCTACAATACTACATTTTCAGTTCAACTAACATACAATCTCGGTCACTCCCATTACAAAAAAATTAATAAAATTAAACCTGGAGTTCTGACTTTTCTAGAAACTGGTTCCATTCCTTGTCTTGTCATACAGGATTCCTTAAAAATATTACATTTTTTTGGTCAAGATTTGAAAATTAATTTATTTTTTATTTAAAGAGACAATGTAAAGTAGTTAAACTGAGATGCAGTTTTGTGGACGAATTCTTTAGGATTCATTTAAGACATATAAAACTTTTTAAAGATTTGTAAATCCTGAGTTTGAGCGCAAAGTCGACGTTCAAAATCGTAGTTTTGGGTAGATATATTTTCAGAACTGTTTTTTTAAATTATTAAATAATAAAAATGTAAACAAATTCCACAGTAAACTAATTAATTGTTTAGGAACAGGTTGGGAAAAAATTAACTCTTATTATCGAAAATAAGTAATCTTATTCAATAATTAGTTTCTATAATCTCTCTTTAATCACAAAGATATTCTGAAGATTTTCTGGAATTTTGATTGAAAACGCGAAATTTAAAGAAATCTGCGAACAAATTCATAGAAAATAAGAAATTGAATAAAATGATGTAAAAGGAAATAATTAATTCTAACTTCGATTTATTGACGAATTTCTTTTCAGAAATATTTTCCTAATCATCAAATTATTTTACTATCAAATGTTTTCTATATTTTTTGTCGTTGTTATTTAATAATTAAAAAAAAACCCGATTCTGAAAAACGTGTCCATCCAAATTCCGTCGACTTTGCGCTCAAACTCAGGATTTACAGATCTCTCAAAAGATTTATATGTCTCAAATGAATCCTAAAGAAGCTTTCCACAACACTGAATACTCAGTTCACCTACCTGCAGTAGCCGGTCTGTCCCTTTAAATAAAAAAGCGAGATGTTGCCTGACTTAGAATGGCTAGTTCAAGTACTTTTCTTCAACGTTATTGAAGTAAAGGGTGTTTAAAAAAACCTTACACTTTATTTTCTCCGAGGATTAATTTTTACCCGATAATAATGACGTCTCACAGGGTGTTTTAGGACTACGAGGTAAAAAAAACTATCGGATTAGGTCAACCCTGCTCTAAATACAGGGGACAATAATTCCAACCCTGCACTAAATACAGGGGACAATAGTTCCAACCCTGCTCTAAATACAGGGGACAATAGTTCCAACCCTGCTCTAAATACAGGGGACAATAGTTCCAACCCTGCTCTAAATACAGGGGACAATAGATCCAACCCTGCTCTAAATACAGGGGACAATAGTTCCAACCCTGCTCTAAATACATGGGACAATAGTTCCAACCCTGCTCTAAATACAGGGGACAATAGATCCAACCCTGCTCTAAATACAGGGAACAATAGTTCCAACCCTGCTCTAAATAAATGCTCTTTGTCTCTTGGAGATGGAACTGATATATCTGCACATCTATATATCTGCTCTACAGAAAGTATACATGGATAGAAAGGATCTAGAATTTTATAAAATTCAGATATTTTAGGATTGAATTCTCTAAAGAGCAATAAAATCTGGCTTCGCAAAAGTCTCACTCTCAACTTTATACTGAATACTAATTTGATTTTATACTTTAACAGAGAATCTTTAAAAACAATATGGCGTCGATATACAACGTAATTTCAAGTGAGCCTCCATTAAAAAAAAATGGGGGCATGCAAGATTCTCAACGATACACATTGCATCTATAGAGAACCCATATTTAAATGGAGTGACCGACTATGTAAGGTAGATGAACTGAGTATGCATTGTTGTGGAAAACTTCTTTCGGATTCATTTGAGACATATTAAACTTTTTAAAGATCTGTAAATCCTGAGTTTGAGCGCAAATTCGACATTCAAAACTCCTAATTTGGGTGTGGATACGCTTTCAGAATTAGTTTTGTTTTTAAATTATTAAATTATTAAATTATTAAAACGACGACATAAAATGTAAAAAAAATTCCACAGTAAACTAATTAATTAGTTGTTTAGGAACAGGTTGAGAAAATAAAAATGAATCTTATCATCGAAAATAAGTAATCTTGTTCAATCATTAGTTTCTATTTTCTGATTATTCTGGTTTCTCTTTATTCACAAAATTTTTTGCAGATTTTCTAGAATTATTATTGAAAAGACGACATTAGAAGAATTTGAAGAAATCTTTGAATAAATTCAAAGAAAATAAGAAATTCAATATAATAATGAAAACGAAATAATTGATTCTAGCCTTGATTTATTGACAAATTTCTTTTGAGAAATATGTTCCTAACTATCTAATTAGATTACTGTATGATTTTCACTTTATTATTCGTTGTCGTTATTTAATAATTAAAAAGAAACTTATTCTGAAAACTATATTTGAGCCGCGCCTTAAATTTAAGCCACGACTCAAATTCTGTAATTTCGGCTTCTGAAGAAATTAAAGTACACCGCACCTAAGTTTAATAATTTAAATTTAATAATTTAAAAAAAACTAATTCTGAAAACGTATCCACCCCCAAAGTAGGAGTTTTGAACGTTGAATTTGCGCTCAAACTCAGGATTTACAGATCTTTAAAAAGTTTAATATGTCTCAAATGAATCCGGAAGAAGTTTTCCATAACACTGCATACTCAGTTCGACTACCTTACATAGAGCCGGTCACTCTCTATAAAAGCAAACCAATTTTTAAATATATCTCATTCAATCTTGATCAGATAAAGGTTTTAATGACACAGCAAAATATACCTCGTTTATATTTCTGTGTAGATCAGTTTTCATCAGATGATAAATTAAAACCTGAACAAAATATAGAAATCAGAAATTAAGAATCTTAAACTGGACATGGATGTATCTAGTTTTAAATTACGATCGTTAATCATTTTTAGTTCAAAAGAAAAAATTAAGATATTTTTAAATATTGGAAAGTTTTGAAGTAAACAATTGAAAAATATTTTTATGTTCTGCTTAAGAATTTATATTTGATTGTTTTTAGTTTGAAATAGAAAGATGTTCGCATAACAACATAATTCAATTCTTATATATAAAATAAAATAAATTAGATTTCTTACCTTTTGAATTTCCCAGGCTATCTCATCGGAATCATTCTCAGGATCTGATCTCAGGCAGTACAAGCAGACAATACCATCTAGATAGATAGATAGATAGATAGATAGATAGATAGATAGATAGATAGATAGATAGATAGAGAGAGATAGATAGATAGATAGATAGTAGATAGATAGATAGATAGATAGATAGATAGTAGATAGATAGATAGATAGATAGATAGATAGATAGATAGATAAAAATCAAATGAAATCAATCAAGGTACTAAAATCAATGAATCAATTCTCTAACCTGAATTTATTTCTCCTGCTTCCAATTGTTTCCTGATGAATTCTAAAATGAAAAGAAATGTAAAATAAAATAAAATAAAATAAAATTTAGTTTTGAAGGGAATTGAGTCGATGTCATAAACTCTGATTTTTTAATCCATATATCTTTGCAGCCCAATGTAGTAGACCTTAGATATTTCAAACTATTAATCCTGTTAGACCAAATAATCTAAGTTTCAAATATCAAAGGCCTACATCATCAGGTTGCAAAGATTTTAGAATTTTAGAATTTGTGACAAAGACTTAATTCCTTTACATATCAGTTATTACCTAGACTGTCAGGATTCCAAGATAAACCATTGTTCGGATCAAATCCCTTATCCTAAACAAGATTTTTTAATAAAAAGAAATATTAAAATTAAGTAAATTTAATTCTAAAGGACGGAGATACGTGAATGTATATTTGTTGATCGATGCATCAGATATCATTCGAGCAAATACTTTTTCATTTTATATTGGATTAAAATCAAAAAAAAAATTTCAAGATTTCAGCCGGCGCTCGATTGAAACCAGTTTTTGGGGGATTTGAGACGCGGCTTAAATTCATTAAATTCGGACACTATTTTACCATCTGTCAAACATCAGATATTTTCCTTTAAATGTTGAAATTCCAGTGGAAAATGGAAAAAATGAAAAAAAGAAAATAAACCCATAAAATAAAGCATATTTTATCTCTGGAATAAAGTGTGAAAACTACATTCATTGAGCTTTTACAACTTTTGTTTGAATTTCTTCAACTTTGCTGCAGTAGAAATTGTAGAAATAGTAGAAATAGTTGGGCAAATGATGGAATTCAATTCGTGGATTTTTAGAATTCCCGCCATCTTTAAATAGGGATAACTACGTTCTAACTTTATTCAAGCCGTTCGTTAATGGATAGTTAAAACTCTTAGAAAACGTTTGTTTCCTAAAATGTATTTTCAGCAAGTTTCATCCAATTTTAAACAGATAAAAGAATCGAAGGTCGCCGGTTAATTTGAAACACATCCATTTTGAAAAACAGCTGTTTCTGCTAGTTAACGATTTAAAAACTAACGGGGTTAGTCGTTCGTTAGCAGACTTTTCCGCTAATTTTCAAAAACTTCCATTTTTAACGACACTTTGCTTGGCCCTATCTATAACAACTTATCTGGTATTGCAGATAAATACACGAACACCAACTTTACATATTGAAGGAGACAGCGGCTATGAGCCACAACTATTTTTCCTTCCATATTCATACCACTAATATGCTTTTTGCCTTCCAGCAGCCATAAGCCACAACTTTTGGATCTTCCATTCCACAACATTTTCGTCTTCCGGCAATTATAACTTTTTTAAACGGTCAATTTAGTGCAGTAAAAATATATTCTGTAATCTAAAGATTAAGACTGCAGAAAGTGGGTTTAATAGTTGATGTTAAGATTTGATAGTCTACATTATTTGCACAGAAATTGTTGCAAACTTGCAGACTGCGCCAAAATTAAGCATAAATTTGCACTGTAATCCGGGCCTTTCAGACATATCAGTTGTCTGCAACTGTCAGATTCAAAAAGAAAACTTTAAAATGGGAAAGTAGGGAAATAAATTTCTTGTACTATTAATAATAATAATTATATTATTAAACTTAAAACAGTTTTTCCTTTAAAACTCTGGGTGATGTCTATATGTCTATATTTTTAGCTGAAAAATATGATTATTTGTAATTTTGGTTTCTCTATAAAATTGACTTGCGGATATAGCAGCCACACGTTTGAAGATAAAAAACGACAATATCTTCCTCATTGTTACTCATGTTTGAAGGGTACCTTCCCTTGTGAATCGGAAATGCTACTCAATAAATTAGATCTACAGTCCGTTTAAAAATCAATCTTTTAATTTTCCTACTCTTTTAAGAAATTGTTTAATTCTATCTTTTTCTTTTTCATTTGTGTAAAATCATAATGCGTGATAAATATACAAACGTTTACACAATCTTAAGTCTCTCTGTTAGATTTCCAAAATGTAATTTAAAATCGATAATTTTACTATAAATTGATCAATTTTGTTGAATAAATAATAAACTCCAAGAGAGGGGGAAAACTAGACTGCAGTATATTGTCATCATGACATTTAAAATGATAAAGTATAGAAACGGTTACAATGTAAAAGTTCATAAATAAATTATTAATATTTAGTTCATTATTTGTAACTTTTTGTTTATTATGTACTACATGATGTTAACCCGATCCCGGCCCTGCCGTGATCTGGTGCTATAAAAGCCAGGATACGCAGTATAGGGGGGGGGGCAATCTTTCTTCCCCCTAGCGTATCCTTGTCTTCCAGGTTTTAAAGTTTTTTTGTTCGTAGCTTTTTGAATTTTGCTGTTGTCTTGTCACTTACTTATTATTAAAGAAATAAACACAGGCCTCAAACTCTAACTTTTTAAACTTTATATCTTTTCAACCTGATGCTATAGACATTTAAAATATCAAACTATAAGTTCTGTTGGATCAAAGTATGAAAAAGTTAAAATTTTTAAGGTTTAAAAAAGATTTACAAAGATATAGGGAATCAAAAATTAGAGTTGGTGGCAAGTATTTAGTTCCTTTCTTACAATAATAATCATTTTTAAGTTTTTTACTTTATAAGATAGGAAATATAAAAGAGCTACGATTATATATTCTAGCAGATTAATACTAAATATTTGCCAATATTTATTTTTCAAAAATATTCTGTTGTTAATATTTTCTGATCCATTACATCAAGGATAAAACACTCTGACATGAAATGAATAAAATAGTGAAATTAAAAAAGAAGAAAAAATTAAAAAACAAATGACAGCAGAATTACTAAACCTGAAAATTTTCGTGGGACCTTCTGTGCAATTACAGAGATTTATATATAACCAGGCTATTAGGGCGCTTCGCGCCCATCTTCTATTTCCATGTTCTCTTTGTGTACAATGTAAAACAAAAACTTCAAGGATTTTATAAAAAAATTTGTGGAATTTTTGAAAATACGATCATTCATAAACCTTCCCAGGGGTCACACGAGGCCCCACAAAATTTTTTGGCCTGATCGGTTCAGCCGTTTTGACGTTTATTGGATACAACCGGACAGACAGATTGACAAACAAACAGACAGACAAGCAAAGTATAAAAATAGATAGTATAAACCTAGGTAAAACCTATTGAAAAATTGTCATATTCTGGGTTAAACCAAGGTACTAATGCGAGGAAAGTTATTTCAGAGGTGCACGCATTTTTTGTACTACAGTGTACTGTATTTGGGCGGAAAAGTAAACACAAGACGGATGTCACAGCCTGGCATGGAATGAATTTTCACAAAATAATCTATGAAATATTCTGGTCAAATGAAACTATTATGTTAATTATCAAAATTATCAAAATTTAATGCTTTTAACCTCCTCGGATACTAAACGTACACTGATGCATCTATTCTTGTTTGCAAATTCCGCCCAGAGAGAACCGATTTCAATATGTATGCAGAGTATACGCAACTGCAATTAACTTTCCTTGCATTATAACCTTGGGTTAAACTGTATATTTTGTCAGAATACTATTAATATCGTTAACGACAGTGTTTAGAAAACCAGGATATCTCCATTATTCTTGAACAGACAAAAGTGTAATGGTTTCCTTGTTAATCGAACGTGTCAATCTATATATGGAGGGGCACTTAATATTTCCATTAAATTGTGATTTTGGAATTTTCAGAATACAAAAATGATCCTCACACTAAATCTCAGTTTGTAAAAACTCCCAGCTATCATTTTTGTTGCTAAAATGTATTATTAAGTCAACAAAGAAATTGTGTTTTTTTTTCGTAATATAAATATGATGAAGACTGATGTGAAATATTATTCTAATATTTATTCCATTTTATCGAATACTGATTATTAACTTCATGGGGGTAATCGTTAAATAATCATGTTGATCATTTATAAATTACAAGGGGGGAGAAGGGGGTGAGTTGAGGAAAATTGCACTATCCCCTCTAAACTATATAGGGAGAAGGGGAGAGGTGAGAATAGGGATGTCGATCATTGCACTATCCCCACAAACTATGGAATTCATCGACAACTGTTTTCTAGCAAAAATATAATTTCTAATAGTTTATACTGAACATTGAACATGTTAGCTTTGATTTTTCAATCCTGTACTTATAAATCTAAATAACCTCTATCAACCTTCTTTCTTATCTCATTGTTTTTTCATTTTTATTACACTCTGTACATTTTCCCCTTTATCAATTTAAATACTAATAAGGGTGAAAATGGGGTGTAAATGGGGTGTAAATGGGGTGTAAATGGGGTGAAAATGGGGTGTAATGGGGTGTAAATGGGGTGAAAATGGGGTGTAATGGGGTGTAAATGGGGTGAAAATGGGGTGTAATGGGGTGTAAATGGGGTGTAAATGACACCTTACCACATCACTTTCTAAGAAAACGTTATAATTGGTGATTTTTAACAGAACTCAAACATTGAATAAAATCTTACCTCAACATTGTTAATATTTCGTTCCTCCATCGGAGTAGAACTATTTAGAAAACATATTTATTTACAATTTTTATTTCAAAATTTCAGATTTTGACATTTCCCCTCTGATAAGTAATAAAAAGTTCGGATTTTTTTTAAAGGAAATAATTCAGCACTTCACACTAAAGTAAAATTCACGTATGATTGAAATCTGATTTTTGTTATCATAGCTCCTCTTATTGAAAACCTATTGAGAAGAAAAGAAGATGTTTTAATTCATAATATGTAGGTAACCAACTAAATTTGTTTTTACACTTGTGCGTTTAGGAGAAACGGAGTAACAAAGTAACAGTAAAGTAACAGGAATGTCAATTGAATTTGACCTTCTCCTCCTGGTTAGTTTTCAGTGACCCCGGTCAACAAAGGACGAGGCTTTAAAGACGACCTAAAGCCATAGTTTTGAATATAGCGATTTAGAGGGGAATTCGGGTTTCTGCCAAAACTATTTTCTTTTATTGAGTTTTTAAATTGAAGTTTAATGCTGAGGGTTGTTGGGTAACCCCAAGGTACTAATGCAAGGAAAGTTATTTCAGGAGTATCTTTTGTACTGCAGTGTAATGTCTCCGGGGGTAATGTAAACACAAGACGGATGTCACTCACAGCCTGACATGGGATCCATCTTTCACATAAAAAATCAATGAAATATTTTGGTCATATGAAAGTATTATGTGAATTAGCAAAATTTTCAAAATTCAATGCTTTTATCCTTCTCGGATACTAGACGAACACTGATGCATCTATTCTTGTTCACAAATTTCGTCCAGAGAGAACTGGTGTAAATATGTACGCAACTGCAATTAACTTTCCTCGCATTATAACCTTGGGTAACCCTGTATTTAAAGCAAAATACTTTTTTGCTAAAAAGTTATTTTCTTATCCAAAAGTTATGATTATGAGAAAATCTGTGAAACAGGAAGAATATGGGATAAGTTTAAAAGTTTTAAAATAGGTTGAAAAAGTTTAAGATATATAATTTTCCTTGTAGAGAGCGGAATTTTATCCACAAAAGATCTTCCAATGTAAGTATTCCACAGAACAGTCTAGAAATAATTCTATCATTAAAGGAGGTTTTATTTTAAAGGGACTGTAAACGTATATTCAATTGATCCTCCAATTGAAGAGTGTAAAATATCTGTTAATCGGATTCACAACGGAACGGTCCTTTTCAAGTTATTTTTTCACCTTAAAACATGATTAATTCTGATTTTATTAATAACGTTTGCAGCATAAACTTTCAATTTTAATTAAAAATAAACCATATTTCGAAAAAAGTATTTTAGTTAGAAATAAAGGATATCTCGAATCTACTGCCAGTCTTTGAATAGAGGATACATTTAAATTATGTCTATTGTCCCTTTAATCTAAATTAGGTCTATTGTCCCTTGAATTTAAATTATGTCTATTGTCCCATTAATCTAAATTAGGTCTATTGTCCCTTGAATCTAAATTATGTCCATTGTCTCTTCAATTTAAATTATGTCTATTTTCCCTTTAATTTGAATTATGTCTATTGTCCCTTTAATATAGATTATGTCTATTGTCCCTTTAATTTAAATTATGTCCATTGTTCCTTTAATTTGAATTACGTTTATTGTCCCTTTAATATAGATTATGTCTATTGTCCCTTTAATTTAAATTATGTCTATGTACATTAGTAAATCAACTTGATACTGAGATTTTAGTACATCAACTTGATACTGAGATTTTAGTACATCAACTTGGTATTGAGATTTTAGTACATCAACTTGATACTGAGATTTTAGTTCATCAACTTGGTATTGAGATTTTAGTTCATCAACTTGATACTGAGATTTTTGAAGTAAAAAGAAACTTTGTCAATGGTTTTAAGACGTAAAAAGGAAATAATCGGGAAGCGCCCAATAAGCCTAGCAATAATATATATTACTAATCATTTCGATATTAATCATAGCTTTTTTAGTAAATTTATTTATATATTTATTATACTTATAATTATATATTAGATATATTTACTAAAATAATGATTTTTCAATTGTTTAAGAATTGAAAAAACTAACCTTATGAATTTTCTGAAGTTTTTTGATCACATAATCAATGTTTTGCTGAATGTTTTTTACTTCCTCAGGCTCTATCTAAAGCAAAACAACTATAAACATTAAAGTTAACATTTCTATCTTTAAAAATGCTAATTTTTCAAATTTGATTTTTTTTAAAACTGCAATTGCAAATAACTATATTTCAGCTGGAAAAGTAAGAATGTCTCATCCATCTAAAATCTGACAAAGGTTTAAATGTGAATCGAACATGGGAGTCTATAGTTTCATCTTTTTAATATGATTTAATATTTGTGGCAGAACTTATTACTTGTTTTATCTTCGTTATCTGTAATAATTTACAATAAAACTGAGAAACATGGCTGTTTAGTGTTCACAATCCATTTAGATGCTATACAATGAAAATTAAATCAAAGTTTCATTTCAAATCTTATGCAATAATCTGTCCAAAAAAAAATTCACATTGTATTATTTATGGGCTTTTATTAAAAATGCATCCCTTTTTATAAACTTTTTTAGAAGCCATGCTAATTTAAAAACTTAAGTGTTAAAAAATCTGCAATTGAAGTCAGTGTTTTTTTTGTGACACAGTTTCTATTTCAATTATTCCCCGGTATTTATCAGACAGCTATACAAAGCATAACTTTGCCACAATAGAGGGTTAGGGGGAGGAGGGGGATTTACTTTTGGAGGGGGGGGGGTATTTCCCTTTCTAAACAATAATTCCCCCCATACCATTTCCTGGGAAAGAAAGATGTCCTGTGGTGAACGAGGGATAGGATGAGAGGGGAGAAAAAAGAAGGATAGGGAGAGAAGAAAAGAGAAGGAGGGTAGAAAGGGCAGGTAGAGAGAAGGAGGAGAAGAATAGAAAGAGTGGAGAAGGAGGGTAGAAAGGGTAGGTAGAGAGAAGGAGGAGAAGAATAGAAAGAGTGGAGAAGGAGGGTAGAAAGAGCAGGTAGAGAGGAGGAGGAGAAGAGTAGAAAGAGAGGCGGGTACATGAAGACTGATGTTTAATATATAAAAATGATAATTTAATATGGTTCTTCCAGATATCCAGGAATATATAATGGTCTTAAGGAGCATAGATAATATATAGATACCAAATATATCCACTTTCCTTATTCTCTTCTTCCATTACTAGAGTTTATACAGATATAGGATTATTGTTGTTTTATTAGTTTAAAAAATATTGTTACTTAGCATCAAAATATACTAATCTGTAAACATGCAACATACGTTACTTCATATAAAAAAAGAAAATTTAAAGTATTTATACGTTTTTACGACGTTTTTTGGTGTGCTGGTAATAAAACTTTAATTATTTATATTGAATTCTGTTGAATGGGATAAAATATGGAAAATAGTGTCGGGCAAAGTATATTATTAAGTATATTAAAGACTAAGTATATTATTAAGTATATTAAAGACTAAGCATATTATTAAGTATATTAAAGACAAACTATATTATTAAGTACATTAAAGACTAAGCATATTATTAAGTGTATTAAAGACAAAGAATATTATTAAGTACATTAAAGACTAAGAATATTATTAAGTATATTAAAGACAAAGTATATTATTAAGTATATTAAAGACTAAGCATATTATTAAGTATATTAAAGACTAAGTATATTATAAAATGTATTAAAGACTAAGCATATTATTATATTAAAGACTAAGTATATTATAAAGTGTATTAAAGACTAAGTATATTATTAAGTGTATTAAAGACAAAATATATTATTAAGTATATTAAAGACTAAGTATATTATTAAGTATATTAAAGACTAAGTATGTTATTAAGTGTATTAAAGACTCAGTATATTATTAAGTACATTAAAGACTAATTATATTATTAAGTGTATTAAAGACAAAGTATATTATTAAGTGTATTAAAGACTAAGTATATTATTAAGTATATTAAAGACTAAGTATATTATTAAGTATATTAAAGACTAAGTATATTATTAATTATATTAAAGACAAAGTATATTATTAAGTATATTAAAGACAAAGTATATTATTAAGTTTATTAAAGACTAAGAATATTATTAAGTGTATTAAAGACAAAGTATATTATTAAGTGTATTAAAGACTAAGTATATTATTTAGTATATTGAAGACCAAGTATATTATTTAGTATATTGAAGACCAAGTATATTATTAAGTATATTAAAGACAAAGTATATTATTAAGTATATTAAAGACAAAGTATATTATTAAGTATATTAAAGACTAAGTATATTATTAAGTATAATAAAGACAAAGTATATTATTAAGTATATTAAAGACTAAGTATATTATTAAGTATATTAAAGACAAAGTATATTATTAAGTGTATTACAGACTAAGTATATTATTAAGTGTATTAAAGACAAATTATATTATTAAGTGTATTAAAGACTAAGTATATTATTAAGTATATTAAAGACTAAGTATATTATTAAGTATATTAAAAACAAAGTATATTATTAAGTGTATTAAAGACAAAGTATATTATTAAGTGTATTAAAGACTAAGTATATTATTAAGTGTATTATGCACAGAGGGTTTTAATATCAGTGTTTTGTGTAATCTCTGTCCATATGGTATTTTTGGCAGAGCTTTTCCTTTCTCGGAATTCTTTGTTTATTGTTCCGTGTTTCTACTGAGTTCCCCAATCAAAATTTGAGGCAAATTGGTCCATGGATTCATGAGTTATGATTGGTACTTGCTAGAGTTTGGGTTTAACGAATATCTAGTTTTTCAAAATGTTGGTTTCTAAGTTTTGAATTTAGAATTGGACTTTCTTCATTAATAATTTACCTGTATATTAGTTCCTGCTCTTGGTTTAGTTGCTCCTATTGATATATTGAGTCCATTAGGAGACCTAGGACCCTAAATATACAGTTTAGTTGCTTCTGTTGATATATTGAGTCCATTAGAAGACCTAGGACCCTAAATATACAGTTTAGTTGCTCCTATTGATATATTGAGTCCGTCATGGGACTTAGGACCCTAAATATACAGTTTAGTGGCTCCTATTGATATATTGAGTCCATTAGGAGACCTAGGACCCTAAATATACAGTTTAGTTGCTCTTTTATAGATATATTGAGACCGTTAGGATACCTAGGACCCTATAAATACAGTTTAGTTGCTTCTACATAGATATATTGAGACGGTTAGGAGACCTAGGACCCAGAAATACCATATATAAATTTGCGCAATTTGTGGATCAGGACTTGAATGTTTACAAAATTTCTTTCTTGAAAAATAACTGAACACATCAAATATCTGTTACCTTAAACCTCCCTGTATATTAAAGGGAGTGTTCGCGAAAAATGAAAGGGGGTACAGGCTTAATGCGATAAAAAAGCGCTTTTGATCGCCACTAATTTGACTTCTATCAGTAGCGTCTATAAGGAGAAAATTGTTAAAGACGTCTCATACCGAATAACTTAGCGCCCATACAAATTCAGAAAATTGCAACATATGACTTTAGAAAACGTTTTAACTGATTTCGAAAAATGTGAGTGGTGCACGGCATTCTTAGATAGATGCGCAAGCAACAAGAGAAATAATCAAATTCAAAACAAATTAACTAAAAAATATTATAAAATATAAACTATATACAAATGTGGCGAAAGATAATCGATGGCTATAGGGTGTAATATCTGAATGATTTGTTTAAAATTAAATTGATTTTTATGGTCTAAGTCATATGTTGCAATTTTCTGAATTTGTATGGGCGCTAAGTTATTCGGTATGAGACGTCCTTAACAATTTTCTCCTTATAGACGCAACTGATAGAAGTAAGATTAGTAGCGATCAAAAGTGATTTTTTATCGCATTTAGCCTATACCCCCTTTCATTTATCGCGAACACTCCCTTTAAGTATGCATAGTTTCATGTAAAATTTGTAATTTTTGCCTTTTGTGTTTGTATATGTACAGGTGTAAGGCAAAAGCGGAATCTTCTTGATGTACTACAATCTTCTCTAAAAACAAACAAATCATTTTTCAAAAAAGTGTAAATTCAAAATAAACGAATAAAACTGACTTGAGCACTTCACAAACAATTCTCAGTGTATCCCTTTTGAACATAAATGTGCGCATGTAGTAAAACATCTCTAACTTGTGGATTTCTTCGTCAGGGGGGTTTTTACAAAGCAAGGTACACTATTGTTAAAAGGTTAGGCCATAGATTTAAAAAGTTTTTTTTTTAAGGTTTAGTGTTTATTTATATACATTTCTCCAAATTCAAACAATTTATTTCAACTCTAAAATAACTTGACAAATCTGAATTGGAAAAAACTTGGTTTCTATCTATATATAAATTTGGCTTGTCTGTCTGTTTGTTTGTCTGTCTGTTTGCTTGTATCCAATAAACGTCAAAACGGCTGAACCGATCGGGCCCAAATTTTTTGTGGGACATCACGTTTTAAAATGTAAACAAATTTAAATAAGCGCCCTAAAAACCTAGTTCAATTGTATTTTAATGCTAACAAAATTATTGGATCAAGTCTTTGATTAAACCTTAATCAATGGAGAGCTCTGCGAAAAGCAACTCATTACAGCAATATGTATGAAGATAGAATGAGACTACAAATGAGAATACTATTGTTGATTTATTTTGTATTGAATAAAGTTGTTAAGAAGAATATTTTAATGAACCAAAAAAATCAGATGGGAAATTTATCAGAATCAAAGAATATTTAGATGGTTTCCAATGTTGTACTTCACAGTGGTTACCAACTTTTGTCAGTGTTTACGTTTTTAAAGAATTATCCCATTCTGTACTGTACTGTACTGTACTGTACTGTACTGATTCAATGGTTTCAGGCTTTTAAAAGTCTACACAAGAACCTAAGATGCAAATTCTATTTTAAAATTTCATTTTACACAAATATGCTTTTATTACAAAAAGAAAAAAATTTTACTCTGGTTCAAAACATAGACCAAAACGAATTTTCAAAACAAAAAATCGAAAAATGACTTTCTTATCATTTTGAGAAATCGTTTTGGGCAATATCTTTAATCAGAGTTAAAAATTTTGCCTAGTGAAAAAAGCAAACTTGTCTAGCATGCAATTTTAAATAGGATTTGCGGCTCAGATTCTTGTGAAGCATTCAAAAAGTCTAAACACTTTGACTGTTTAAAATGGGTCTCAAAACTATGCCCTTCAGAACCCCCACACAAACTTTTTTATCCTATTTTAGGATTATCTTCCATGAAAATTATCTATTTTCTCCATTAAAAATATTGTCATCCAAAAAAGTTCAAATCTTTTAAAAATCTGTAGGGGAAAGGGAGAGAGAATTGATTTGTCAAGAAAAAATATGTACTGTAGTCCGAACAGTATGTTATCCCTTATCAATAATTCAAAACTTTTGCGTTAACTGCTTCCCTTCTTATCTCTTCACTTCACTTCATTTTATATCGTTCGCAGGGAAACATGTCTAACCAAGTTAGCATTAGAAGAATTAGAGGTGTAGAGGAGAACTTTCAAGTTGCATCTACTAACTTTGAGCCCTTGTTTTCTGCTTTCAGTATGTACAGACATACTGCACTAAGTTCTGTGTCAAATCTAAAAGAAGTGGGAAATAAATGGGCTAAAGTCACTATTAAAGAGCAGGAAAAGCAGAAAATTGGATCAGTTACTGCAGCTTCAACTAGCCTTGTATCATTAGTGGCACTTGGAGCTAGTGCATTTTTTACTGGGCCCTTTCTAGCTGTAGGAGCTGTTACTGGTGGTGTTTCTGCAGGAATTGCTGCTTGTAAAATGTATTTTAATCATCAACATGAAAAGTTGGCTGAAGAAACTTTGTCTGAAGTAAAAAGAATCAATGAGCAACTGAAGGAAGCTTGGGATGAAATAAAGCATTGTATCGAGGAGCTTGTGGGCGAGCAGATATCAGAAGTGGAAAGCTTGGACAGGTTGTTGGCAATAATAACCTCAGATATACAGTTCAAAGAAAACATGCCTAAGATAAGAGTTCTCAGGAATCTTATTGCAAAGATTCAGGAGGATTCTAACACACGTTTTGTTGAACATATCAAAGTAATTGCTGGATATCTGAATAGTAATGCTGCATTATCAGGAATATCAGCAGTAACTCAGTCACCAAAAACATGCAAACATTCTCCATTTGCTTTTAAATGCACCTCGGAGCCAAGAAATAGTAGCAGTCTCCAATGCCTCAGTAGAGCAGGGAAGTTTGTGTATGGGATGGCTTTTTTTGGAAATGCTTTTGCGGTTGGTGTAAATGTAAAGGAAGCTTGGGATTTGTCTGAAAAGCTAAAAGAAATAGAGAAACTGCCAAAGGAAGAGCAGACAAAGGCTGCCAGTGATCTTTCCAAGAAAATTATGGAAGAAGCAGAGAGAATTGAAGAAAGCATCAAGATGCAGTTTGAAGACTGGCTTTAGTCATCAGGTAATAACACTTTGTCATAGGTTGAAACAAAATTTGTATCTATCAATTGCTTTGGACTTTGTTGGAACAAAAAAAATTAAAATATGTTAGGTATTTTCTCAAAGGCATTTTCCGAAGTGCGTTTTCCCAAGTAACACTTTCCTTAGTGGCAACCTCCCAAATGTTCAATTTACCAAGTGGCAACTTCCCAAGTTAGGTTAATCCTTTTGATGCTCTGAAGGCTGCAATGGGGGCAGAGTGCTGTGGCAAGAATGTACTAGGGGCCAAGCCCAGCATCTAGAACAGGATAGGGAGCTAAGCGCTACTGCTAGGACAGGCTTGGGAAGTTGCTCCTTGGGATATTGCATAGTTGCTATTTAAGAAAATACAATGGGAAGTTACTGTTTAGGAAATTATCTAACATCTTAAAGAATCATGACTTAAACTTAGAATGCCATACCTTAACAAAGGACAATACTAAAAGTTTAATCAAATTTGTCTAAAAAGATATTACTGTTAAATGAAAGATAAGTTCCAGATGGGATAACCAATTGAAAAGTCTGTTGGAACTAAAATTGGATTTAAAGAACTTTTACATAAATATTATAATTTAGCCAATACAATACTCAGAATTTAGTAAGGATATGAAATACTTAAAAACATAATAATAAATCTTTAACTTTTAACTTTATTTATTTTCAGCAAGTGTGGCCATTTTCGAAGAGTTCACCCATTTTGGAATACACACCTTTATATTGCATTGTAAAGGTCACTGCTCAAATATATATTTATAGCTTTTAATATTTGTAAATAAATTTTATTTGTAAATTCTAAAATGGAAACAATTTAAATACTGATTCAACATGCCTCGAAGGTTATGATATTACAAGAACTTTTAGATAAAAAGTAAATTTTTGAAAATTTAGACGATTAATAATGAAATAAGTAATACACTGATTAAAGTTCTATAATAAATTTTTGTACAAAATCATATATATCTTAAAAATCTTTTAATTACACTATTTTATATTTATTTATACTCTGTGTGTTAAATATATCTTTATTAATAGAAATGATATTGAATAAACCCTAGAATAAAACCTATGAAAAGCTGGAGGAAATAGAAAGGAGAAATATTGTTATTATTTCCTTCACACGGCTAAGGAGAACAAGAAAGCAATAATAGAAACTATAAATTTAAAGATCAAAGAACAACAAGAGTAGGAAAATATCCTCAACCCCCTCCAATTTTCTACATATCTATAACAAGCTATACTTGAGAATTAAACAATTCAGGATTTTCTTCTTCAGAAACTGAGCAATTGCCTCAAACCATAGTTTTCAAATCCCTATATCTTTCCAACATTTTGTTCTTTTCAATATCTCTGCCATTAAAGCAGTTATGTAAAAAACATTAGAGATTTTAATCTATCGTGAAATTTACTTTCGTTTGACTTGTTATGTCTCGTGACACATTTGATACTTCCACCTTTGAATTTTGATAATAAACAGATTGCAAAGATATAGAGACTATAAATTGCAAAGATATAGAGACTATAAATTGCAAATTTGAGACATTGATTTAGCTTATTTATTTGTCATTTCTTTATTTAGTTTCTTAATAAAACACTTGAAAACGATTAAATCCCAGTTTTTATTTGATGTTAGGATTCACTTAATTTCAATAGATGTTAGGATTCACTCAATTTAAATAGATGTTTGGATTTATTCAATTCAAATAGATGTTAGGATTCATTCAATTTAAATAGATGTTAGGAATCACTAAATTTAAATAGATGTTAGGATTCACTAAATTTAAATAGATGTTAGGATTCACTCAATTTAAATAGATGTTAGGATTCACTCAATTTAAATAGATGTTAGGATTCACTCAATTTAAATAGATGTTATGATTCACTCAATTTAAATAGATGTTAGGATTCACTCAATTTAAATAGTGGGATTCACCAGAAATAATAAAGTTAGTGGGTTTCACTAAACTAAAACACCTGAGAAAGTATAACTATTGTGGATCCACCAAATTACAAATTACAAATTACAAATTACAAATCACAAATTACAACTTACAAAATAACAAATTACAAGTAAGTCAATATTTACAATATTGGCAGCCACCTTGTTCAAATTAAATATAAAAGTATCCTTTGGTAAAATTGCAAAACCTTATGCTAATTTTATGCAAAGGGTCAGAATAGTTGTAAGGAGATAATCTCCATGTTTCTGCGCTGTCCCAAAACATCATGATGGCTGAAAACTTTTAAATGGACCAAACGAGATAAACTCTTTCCAAATAATGGGACGATTAACCAAGCTCTCAAAACTTGATGAAAAATCGGCAAATTAAAAAAAATTTATTTGCTTTTTAAACTGTTTTTCTAGCTTCTTGTAAATTCCCGCGTAAATGGCTACAGCTGACCTAACTTTACACAGACAATTTAGAATGTTTTTGATGTTGTGATTTCACAAAATTTTCCTGACACCCTGCATATTCTACCCGCTTTAGACATTAGACACCTGATAAAACTAGACACTCTGCAGGAGGGTCGAGGAGGGGGGGGGGGGGCAATGCTGAGGGGTAGGAAGGGCTTACAGGGGGGTCATGTCCTTGCAAGTTTATGAAATATTAAAGGACTTTAAAGGGGTTTAACACACAATCAAAAAAAGTATGTTTTTGTCTAGATAATCTTTAATCTTGCAATGGAGGGAATTTATAATGACACTCCATTTATATACATTTATATTTATTCTATTGATTAATTTTGATAGTGTTTTCTCTGTGACTGGTGGATTTTTAAAGTAAAGAGTGACTCAAAATTACGTGCCATTAAAGGGATTGTAAACGTAATTTCAAACTACCCTCCATTTATCATTATAAATCGGCCATCACCCTGTTTACATGGAGGGTAAATTAAAATTACGTTCTAATATTAAATTTAATACTTTTAATAAATGTCCATCTTTTTCTCCTTTTCCTATAGATATATATATATATACATATAAACTACTCTATGTTTTCCAATTTAATGTTCTTATAGCGCGAAATAAGTAAAAATTTAAGGATTTTTTGTATTGAACATTAATATTAATGTATAAATTGTCCCGAGTAGTGTGCACTAAAGATAACCTTTAACAGAAAGAAATATATATATAAAGTTGTAATCTCTGCTTGTCTGTCTCTTTGCTTATTTGTCCGATCATAACTCGGGAACCCCTGGATCGATTTGCCTCAAATTTTGATTGGAGAACTCAGTAGGCCCACGGAAATTTTCTTAGCTTGGATTTACGATTCTAAGTTGAGTAGGTCGAGCTTAATAGCACAAATTTAGTTTCCCGGCAAAATCGTTTAAGTGCGGGTAAACGACGGGAGTAACTATGAGAAACCTAGTCAGCGACTGTAGGTATAAAATGCCCCAGTTTTATAAAATAAAAGTATAAAGTGTCAAGTTCTAAGGTAGTGAGATTCATGAAAAAAATAAAAAGTGAGATTTGAAAATCCAAAATTAGAATAAAAAATTTTAACTTTTATTTTCGAACTGTGGTATTGGCGGTAGTGAGATTTCAAAATCCAAAATGAGAATATAAAATTTAAACTTTTATTTTCAAACTCTGGTATTGGCGGTAGTGAGATTTCAAAATCCAAAATATAAAATTTCAGCTTTTATATTCTCATTTTGGATTTTGAAATCTCACTACCACCAGTACCAGAGTTTGAAAATAAAAGTTGAAATTTTTTATTTTGGATTTTGAAATCTCACTACCGCCAATACCAGAGTTTGAAAATAAAAGTTGAAATTTTATATTCTCATTTTGGATTTTGAAATCTCACTACCACCAGTACCAGAGTTTGAAAATAAAAGTTGAAATTTTTTATTTTGGATTTTGAAATCTCACTACCGCCAATACCAGAGTTTGAAAATAAAAGTTGAAATTTTATTTTCTCATTTTGGAATTTCAAATCTCACTACTGCAAAAACCTCTAGTTTGAAAGTATTTACATTTTCTAATTTCGAAAAAAAGGCATTTAATAATCTGAAAATTGTAAAGAAAATGTACAAAAACTAGCTTTTAAAACCTTCAATACCATTTTCTTTTTAAAAAAACATAAAATTTTCGCTCATTTTATACAAACAAAGTCAGCGCTGGGTTCCCAAGCTAGTATTTTATTAAAATGCTTAAAACATTGACTTATTTATGTACAAAAAAGGTTTAAAAAGGAAAAACTTGCCGTAGTGTCGTGCTAAATCAATTATTACTTGGGTTACCAACGCAATTGGAATTTACGAGTCCTATAATACTGGACAATTCCGCGCAACGGAATTTCGATTGGAAACCCTATACTATATTTGCATCTCTTCAGCAATTATTTTTTAGTTTTTAGCTTTTTTGAATTTATCATAATCCAAAGATTCGTGATGTCAAGTGCTTAAAAGAGTCACTTGAAATTTCGTAGACAGTCCTTTAGGGCTTGAATCTACACCTTAGCATAGTGCACAGTCCCTTTTAAGCTTGAATCTTCCCCTTTGCATAGTGCACACTGCACAGTTCCTTTAAAGCTTCAATCTACACCTCATCACTGTGCACATTCCCTTTAAAGCTTGTATTTACACCTTTGCACAGTGCACAGTCCCCTGTAAACCTCGACTCTTCCCCTTTGCACAGTGCACAGTCCCTTTAAAACTTGAATCTACACCTTTGCACAGTGCACAGATACTTTAAAGCTTGAATCTACACCTTTGCACAGTGCACAGTCCCCTTTAAACCTTGAATCTACACCTTTGCACAGTGCACAGTTCCTTTAAAGCTTGAATCTACACCTTTGCATAGTGCACAGTTCCTTTAAAGCTTGAATCTACACCTTTGCACAGTGCACAGTCTATTTAAAGCTTGAATCTTCACCTTTGCACAGTGCACAATTCCTTTAAAGCTTGAACCTTTACATTTGCACAGTGCACAGTTCCTTTAAAGCTTAAATCTTCACCTTTGCACAGTGCACAGTTCCTTTAAAGCTTAAATCTTCACCTTTGCACAGTGCACAGTTCCTTTAAAGCTTTAATCTTCACCTTTGCACAGTGCACAGTTCCTTTAAAGCTTGAATCTTCACCTTTGCACAGTGCACAATTCCTTTAAAGCTTGAACCTTTACCTTTGCACAGTGCACAGTTCCTTTAAAGCTTAAATCTTCACCTTTGCACAGTGTACAGTTCCTTTAAAGCTTGAATCTTCACCTTTGCACAGTTCACAGTTCCTTTAAAGCTAGAATCTACACTTTTGCACAGTGCACAGTTCCTTTAAAGCTTGAATCTACACCTTTGCTCAGTGTACAGTCCCTTTAAACCTTGAATCTACACCTTTTCACAGTGCACAGTCCCTTTAAACCTTAAATCTACACCTTTTCACAGTGCACAGTCCCCTTTAAACTTTGAATCTACACCTTTGCACTGTGCACAGTTCCTTTAAACCTTGAATCTTCACCTTTGCACAGTGCACAGTTCCTTTAAACCTTGACTCTTCCCCTTTTCACAGTGCACAGACCCATTAAACCTTGAATCTTCACCTTTGCACAGTGCACAGTTTTTTAAACCTTGACTCTTCCCCTTTTCACAGTGCACAGTCCCTTTAAACCTTGAATCTTCACCTTTGCACAGTGCACAGTTCCTTTAAAGCTTGAATCTTCACCTTTCCACAGTGCACAGTTCCTTTAAAGCTTGAATCTTCACCTTTGCACAAACATTCAAAGCTTCCGTATATCTCCTCAGCGCAATAAAAAGAAAAAATTAGCATATTCGGGGAAAACTGACAATAAATGCCAGTTCTGA